CGCAGGGCCGCAGTGGCGGAGCCGCCCCGTCCCTCCGGTGCATCGCGGTCGCCATGGCGCTGTGCGGCCGCTCCGCGCTCCTCCCGCCGCCCCCCCGGCACCGGCCCCGGCCCCGAGCCCCGGGGCCTTTCGTCAGGTACCGGAGGGGGCAGCGGGGAAGGCGAGGAGTAGGGTGACAGCGAGCGGCAGGGCTGCGCTGAAGCGGCTGTGGGGTGGGGAAAGGGTATGAGGGGTGAGGGGTCTGTTGGAGGGGCGCTGAAGGTGTGTGTGGGGGGGAATGTGGAGGGTTTTGATGAAGTGAGAGGGAGTTTGGTGTGCGAGAAGCTGAGGTTTTCACAGCTGTGGTGCTGCTCTTGGAGGAAATAGGGTTAAACGCCTGTTTGGGGGCGTTGGGGTGGGAGGCGCAGGGCGTTGGAGGTGCTGAAGGGTGCTGGAATAAAGGGGTTGCGGAGAGGTTTTCAGCGGTAGGATGGGGTGTTAACGGATTTGATACGAGAGAAGGTGGAGCGTTTGCAGAGCTGACGGTGCTGATTTGGGATAAAATAGGTTTTAGCGCCTGATTGAAGGTGTTGGGGTGGGGGTGCACGGCTTTGGGGGTGGGACAGAAGTGATGGGATATTAAGGAGAGGTTTTCTGGCGTGCCGGGGCACTGAGCTGTGGGGGTGTTGCGGTCGGATTTGGGGTCATTCAGGGGGTTTTGGGGGACTAGAGCAGCATGTGAGGGACTGGCAACGGGAGGGAAAGGATGGGGACAGGTAGATTTGGCAGGTGGCTACTGGGAGGGAGGTGTTGGTGGCCCTGACAGGACGGCAGACAAGGGCCTGATGTGACCTTGTGGATGGAGGGATTGTCAAAGGCGGAATCCTTTTGAAGGAGGGTGTGTGGGAGGCTGTGGTGGATGAAAAGCAGCAGGACGTCAAGGGGGGCTCGGAGCAGGGCTGGTGTGCAGGGGGTGGGTTTGGGGTTGTGTTTCTGTAGGGGATAATCCTGATTTGGGAGTGGGTAGGAATAGGCTGTCTTGGCAATAAGGGAAAACAAAGGCTTGTGAAAGGCAGGAAAAGTGAATTAGGGTAGGGATAGCTGAGGTTTGGGAGGGACTGAGGGATTATGGAGAAAAGGAAGACCCTGTATTTGTGTGGGCACCTGCTGGGGGGCTTGTGGATACAAAAGTAATAAAATTACCAGAGCTCTGGAAATACCTTGGGCCTGACAGGAGCTGCGGTGTGGGGACAGGTGAGATGGTGGCCTTGGCTCTATGGGAGCTCAGGTGTCAGCTCAGGTATCCTTAGGTTGCCAGAGCTCTGTTTCCTTTTGGAGACTTAAGGTACACCCATGTATATGAGACTGCAGCCCATTATCTGAAGGGTTTGAATAGAGGAAACAGCCTCAAGTTGCAGCAGGAGAGGTTTAGGTTGGATATTGGGAATCATTTCTCTGCTGGAAGGATTGTCCAGCACTGGAACGCGCTGCCCAGGACAGTGGTGAGGTCTCCAGGTATTTAAAAGGCAATTAAAAAACATTTTTATGGTTCTTAGGGATGAGGTTTAGTGGTGGCCTTGGCAGTGTCGGGGTAACAGTGGGACTGGATGGTCTTAGCTTTTCCAACCAAAATGATTCCATGATTCTGCTTTATGGTACCACAAAGGACAACGCAGGAACTGAAGTGCTTGATGCTTTCAATAGTTACAGCACAATACATGGAAGTATTCACCAGTGGGAAGCCAGATAATCAGGGAATGGAGACCTTGCACGTGAATCGCAGACAAACACTTGGCTGAGCTGCCTGGGTCTGTGTTTGCTGTAGATTTTCAATTAGAAAACAAACAAACACCAAAACCAAACAGCTTTTTATGTTAAGTACAAGAAGGGAACAAAAGCATTTTCACTTTTTAGACAATTTGCCAGTGAAATGAGGAATTCTGCAGTGAGAGAGAGAAATGGAGGTTGTTCTGCTTGCTTGAAACACGTTAACACGGCTGTTCCCTCTCTGCCTACAGTTAGAAATTGAACTGAAAATAAGACAGGAAAAAAGTGACCTTTCAAAAAATTTTTTTTCACTGAATAAATTAATCTTAATTATTTAGAAAGAGCTTAGTATTTCTTTAGAGTTGTAAAGTATCTAAAAATTCATGATGGGTAATGAAATGCCAAGATGGTAAAAAAAAATGCTGAAAGAGAAAATGGTTTCCACTCGAGCCTTCCTCTTCCTGAGTGATTTTTGTAATTTGAGACCCTGTTTTAGAGTTGTCATGAGAACATTCAGACTCTCTGAACATCTGCAAGCTTTTGAGCTCCACTGAGAGATGCAGCCAGCAACTGTAATTTGGTGCATTTGTAGGAGCCATGTCATCTGTTAGTTTTTTTTTTCCTACTTAACATTCATTCTTGTGCAGTTCTTTTTTAAATTTTTTTTATTGTCAGGCCAGATGGAGGCCAGCGTTTGCAATAAATTTCCCAGGCAGTCAGCAGATAGCAGGCAGTTAATAAAAATAACTTAAAACAAAACAATCCGTTACCCTCCTCTCCCTGCCCCCAAGTTCCCAAACAGGAATGGAAAAATTCTTCAGACTATATAAAGACTAGAGAAAGGGCCAGAGATAATTCTTGGAGTTCTTCCACATACTTGAGAGTTTTGGTCTGCCATGTGGCACCTTGGGAGCTGGCGACCCTCGGCATTGTAACAAGGAAAGAATGGATTTGTAAATAGAAAAGAAAAAGAATCCCTTAAGTAAGAGAAGAGTGCTGCCCAAAAAAGGGGAAGTCTTTTTGGGAGGTGATGTCATCTTTCATGTGCCTGTGTTTAGTGGTGAATGAGTGTTTTCTTTGTGACTACAGGCATTTCTGAACAAAATTCCTATGAAGTGCTTGTTTTAAATATCTGCATCAGAAAATCAATGTAGATTTGTTATATTTCAGAGCGCTCTGCACCCACCCAATCTGAATTACCTTTATGTAAAACAGAGTAAGCAAATCCTCATTATTCATTATCCATGGTGGTAACATAATACAGATGAGTTCTCACCATGTGTCCATGTGGGGAAATGCAAAATGAGTCCCTGGGTTCATTTTTCTGTTGTCTCTTCCTCTGTGCTTAACATTCTCCTGCTCTAAACTCTTCTGTTGTTAATCACATCGTGGTTAAATATGTGGCTTTTTTTCTATGAATGGGGTATTTGGGAGCATGGGACCAAAGAGTTGTTGTGGTTTCCCAACCAGTTTTTTAGGGGACTTGTCTGTGATGAAAGATTAACAGTCTGTGCCCATGTGTTCCTTATGTAATTATGTCGAGGTTCAGGATTTTGTAAGAGCACAGTTTCACCGGATTTTCTTTTTTTTTAAGGAATGTGCTGTATTTTAGCAATGCAAAGTACAGGAGGAAAGAAAGAGGAACAACCCCCATTCCTTGAATATGGATGGTTTTCTGTCAACTTAGGGAAATAAGAATGCTGAGGGCCTGCTACAGTGAGAATTGAGGGGTGTGGAACCATTTGATTGATGGGAATAGATGGGAAATTTGCTGAGGAGAGGAGCAGAGCTATGGCGTGGACCTTCAGCTGGAATTCTCCCTTTGTGATCATCACTGCATCTGATTTGGAGCTTTGTGGCCACGTGGCTGCAGATGTTGTGGTCCAGGAATGAGCCCTGAAGGTGAATTTAGTCTTGAGGCACCAAAAATCAACTTCTGATTTCTGCCCAAGTGCCAGGCAGTGCCCTGTGCTTTTAATCACAGAGTAAGTGATAGCAAAATAATCACCCTCGAGGTGCTGGTCTTTGTCACTTTTTCAATTATTGTCATTTTTTAAGCTGATAATATTTTTGGAAGAGAATAGTTGATGCTCTCCATAATGTGCTGCAACGTAAGGAAATGAAAATACAGATGTGACTTTTGTAAATCAGCCTGTTAAGGAGAGAGAACATCAAGGCTGGGGGTCTGACTGGTGTGTAAGTGATGGGCAACCCATCATTTGATAAATTTTCTCAAAAAGTTTGACACTGACATCAGTCAGTTCCAGATGTTTAGTAAGCAGAGATTCAGGATTTTTCCTATGTGCTTTGAGCTCTCTGGATTACAGAATTGAATATTCCTGTCCACTTAAAGTCAAGATTTGGTCCTGAAAATGCACACATAATTAAAATTTGTTTATCTGTGTCCAGTTTCTTCTCACTGATCCTAAAAAATTACTTTATCTTGTATTTATAGTCAAGATCCCTATGCTCACTGTAGAGAAATCTGCAAAATAGCTGGAAAGTTGACATCTATTTTAAGGTGGGTGAATGTTGTCTTTTATGAGTGTCAAGCACTGAAAGAGTTATTTTGAAATCAATGAAATTCTGAATCTTTAGCTCAGTCTGACTTCTGGTGTCCGTTTTCACAGCTACAATAAGGTGGAGATAATGTCAGTCTGTGGGAAATCCTGAAAAAAATCCTGGGCTCTTAATACAAGCAGACAACATTTCTGATAGAAATCATCAGGTCAACAAAAGACCCAAGAAATATAAACTTGGTTTTTCGGGGACTAAAGTGGAAACAGATGTTCACAACAGCGAGTTAACAAGAAGAGAGACCTGGGGGAAAAAAAAAAGTGATTTATCATTCTGTTTTATTTATTTATGTAAGGTAAATCGGGCACTTAAAGGTAAAACCATTGACTTCGGTAGGCAGCATGAATCTATTAATCTATTCCCTGTCAATGTGAGGATTCTCCCTGGTTTGACAGGGATATTCCCAATTTCCCCTCTCGTTCTCTGCCATCCATCCCCAAACCTCGGCCACGTGCGGGTTTTTAGGGCTGCCAAGCCTTTGTGGGGGAGGAGCGAAACATCTGCCAAGATGAGGCGAAACACATGGAACAGCGAAATCCCAGCCTTTGTCAGCTGAGTTGGGTGTTAAACACAGCCCTGCCAGGCTGTGGGAATCCGCTGGGAATTGGGAATCCAGCAGGAATCAGGCAGGGATCAATGCTGATATCGGCGCTGCCTCAATTCTGGATTACCACGTCAAGACAAGGCAGCTTGCACTCAGGTTAAATCCAGCCAGCAACCAGGGATGCGGGGAAAAAAACACCGCATTGTGGGAAAAGAAACGAGATGGAAATTCAAGCACCGCGTGGCTTTCTCGAGGAAATGGATTTGTTCTTTGTGATTGAGAAAGGCACAGTTGTTAATATTCGCTTTATTTGCCAACAGACGTGCCTTGCAGCGCCGTGTCTGTTACCAAGCTGTGACAGGCTGGCTGTTGTAAAGCGAGGTACTTTGCATAATTAGTGTGAAGACGTGAACAGATGAGCACTAATTCTTAGAAGTTAATGATTGTCAATTATCCCCCCCCCCCCCTTTTTTTTTTTGCCTGGATCTAGTCCAAGATTAGCGGAATATCAAGTACCTCAAGGTATAGTTCCTTAATTGGCCCAAGCGCACTTTATTGCCAGATGTCACCCCAAAACGTGGCTTTGCCTTTTGACCTGCCTTCATCAGCAGTCACGTCAGCTTGCCGCTGTTTGAAAGCGTTGTTTTCTTTTTAATTCCTGGGCTGGAGGTTGTTTGGATCCATAAGCTGATCCGACCTGACACATGGCTTCAAGATCGTTAGTGCAGACAGAAAGGCGGTGAGAAGGGTGAGACTGGCCCTTGCAGCACCGGGAGGTTTTATCCTGCTTTAAACCCACAGGGAAATCCCAGCTTCTGCTCAAAAGTGGTGCAAAAATTCCCACTTTACCTATATCAACTTCTTACCCCCTTCAGAAATTGTCTCATGGGTGGATAAGTAACTTCCAGCTCTTGTCTTGCCCAAATCTCATTGAAATAATTTTGGAGCTTCCTTAGAATCATGTTTCCAAATACACCTAATTTATTTTTTTTCAGCAGTAGGTCACTGTAGGCTTAGCTGTGGTTATGGAGATGGTGGATCCAGAGCCACAATTTCCAGGGAAGCATCCCAAGGCCCACAGGTTTATGTGGAGGTTGATGTTTCCGTTTGAATTTGTGCTGCTGGGGTAAAATGAAAAGGAGTAAAAAAAGTCAGTGCTTGTTTTGGAGATGGGAAAAGTCATGGATTTTTGTTCCCAAGACAGTCTCTTTTGTTTTTGTCAGATGACTGTTTAATGTGAAATCCAAGAAAATGCCTTTATTTTCCCCCTTCTGACTTCATCCACAGTTTTAGCCTGTATTGTTTAAAAGCATGTTGTAAGAATTCTAATTATTCTCTTCCCTATTTCTGAATGGCATCTTTCTTCAGGCACACAAGTCTTCTGTGTTTAGTGTCAGCCTTTGAATGTAATGATTTATCCACACTTGAAATGACGTTGAAAATTTTTCTGTGAACGCGCTTTTTCAAAGAATTCTCTCATAGAAACCACTTCTTAAATAAAACAAGAAAAAATATTCTGCTTAAGGTCTGTTTAATATTAAGAATGAAATCAATATCTTCATTGGACATAACATTGTGAAATAATGAATGTAAATTTATTCTATGCTTTTGTGTTTTATGTCAGGACACGCAGCACTGACATCCAGATTTACCTGGCAGAAATGTTTCAGCAGCTTAATCTAAGATCTATAGATATTTTTAAGGGCTGTACCAAAGTTACAATTTATTTGAGAAATAATAAAAGTAATTCTAGGAGAGTAAAATTCCTAACCTGAAAATTTAAAGAAGGAAAGGAATACCCAACCTGCGAGGACTCTCCTCTCGCAATTCTTCTTCCTTTTTTCTACCCAGCACTTGAACTGATCAGAAAATACTTTCCCAAAACTCAAGAAGACAAAAACCCCATTTATTGTGCTTTTCTCTGCTCTGATGTTCTTAGTCTCATAACACTACTTCTTTTAAATGATAAATGTGTTTTATTGGGTCACTCTTTTGTGGAAGCCTTTGAAATGAAAATTTAAAGATCTTAGGAGTAGCTTACCTTGTTTGATATGGTAATGTTTTTTAATAAATAGAAAAATCTTTCTTCCTGAGTATCCATGCTTGTTCTTTGTCAAATTGAGTCCTAACCATTCTTCTATAAGTGATCAATACAAGGAGGGTAGCAAAATCAAGGTGTGTATTCCTGCTGTGTTTATAATGCAGAAGAGGTTTATAAAATGTTACACAGCCCTTAAAAATCTGGTTTTGGCTGGAGAATTAAATTTGCCTTCAGAATTGACCATGGGTAGCAGAGGGATTATTGCATCTTTTTTCTGAGGAGCTGAAGGAAATCTCCTTGTGCCCTCAGCATTTTTTGTGTTGACTGTTTCTTTCCTCACTTTGAGCAGGAGCAGGAACATGTATCCTCTAATATGGAAAATGTTTTATTAAAAGTCACTCTGGGAGCTGCTTGCTGTGTCAGTGCAGAAGTCCTTGGACATGCTTTTTCTCCCAGTCCTTCCAATTTGTCCTTCAGCTCCTCTCAGGAATCATGGAAACAGTTCCTTTGCAGGCAGGTCAAGGAGCATTTTGAGAATGATTTCATTAAGGATGGCTTTATACAAAAAGTTGTGTCCATGTTGAGGCTCCAGCAATATTGCAGCTGCTCCTCAATAACTGTGGGCTTGTGCAACTTGTGTTGCTGTTTCCATACCAACAAATGAAATAAGTTCACTTTGTGTCCACAGTGAAGAGTCTGGGGATATTTTTCTGCTCTCTATCTCGTGATACGGCAAATGTAAAAATATGAGCTCTGAAAAGCTTGTAGCGAATCATCTGTCACACAGCTGGTCTGGGCTCCTGTTTAATGATGGGATGAAAATTTTCCAGAATGAGATTCAAAACCTTCATTTTGTGTAGCTGTGAGATTCAGGTTTAGGTAAGGTTTGAAAGAATGAATAATTAGTAGTTACTTAAATGTGCAGGATAAAGTTCAGTGTGGTTTTCATGGATTTCCTGGCATCACCCACGTGGACAAACATCTGATAGTACCTGATGAAATGTCTTTGCTGTCATCAGTGGCTTTAATTTCTGTTCCTATATCTAAGACTGGATCAGAGTATCCATCCATCCATCATCCATCCATCCATCCATCCATCCATCCATCCATCCATCCATCCATCCAATATAATATAAATTGAAATGTTCCAGGTAAGAAGAATAGTTGTGGGATTCACAACTGAAACATGTGACCTAAAAAGGGGAAAAATTACTGCTGGAGACTGCAGTGACTTTGTGCTTCCCATGAAAGTGTTTCCAAATGAAATGTTGTCTGTCCTTTATCACTGATCTTTGAATTTCACCATAATGGAAACCTTTCATGTTCATTCTTTCTTTCAGAGAAAGTAGAGCACAATAATTGTAGTATTGCTGAAAAGACCTATTTGCTTTTTTACTTGGCTAAAGTAATGCTGAAAATAGAAATATTTGACCTTACTTTATTGTTTGTTTGAACTGCTCATACATTTAATTCTGTTTGAGTGTTTCTGTGAGAGACATTTGTTTCCTGGAGCTGAACAGCTCACAGTTCTATAAACAAGTCTATAAACAAGAAATCCCATTCAGTAATATCAACAGTGAAATTTCTTGTCTTTTATCAGTATTTAAACAAACTCACAGAATGTTGCCTGGAAGCACAAATTGTGTTGCTCTCTGTTGTAGCTAAAAGATGCATATTGGGCAACTGAATTAAAATTTATATAATAAACTATTCACTTTGATTATAAAAAAATCTGGCTGTTGCAGATGGAATTTTTGCCTGGTTTAAAGATAAATATTGGACAGCGGAATTAAATTTATATAATAAACTATTCATTTTTATGGTAAAAAAATCTCAGCAAGACTTGGCATTGTTTCATTTCTCTTTGATCTTTGAATTTTGATGATCTTGGAGGTCTTTTCCAACCTTCATGATTCTCTTGATGGTGCTGGAGGTACCAAAACTCTTTCCCAGATTCCTGTTGGGATGGAGGTGCTCCTGTGGTCCCTTCTGATGTTACTTTGGTTTTTGCTTCTCTGGTAGAAGAGGGAATTTCTGCTGGCCTGGTGGGAGCAAACCTGATCAGCAATTTTTGGCAGGTTGGAGATTAACAGAGCTTGTGGGTTTAAAAAATAGTTAAAAGTTCCTGTCTTCTCTCAGTGCTGTGGTCTTCATCTTTTAGTGGGCAAAAATAATCAGGAATGGTTTGATTTAAGGTCCAAGTCTCAAGAAGAAATCTCCAAATTGAAGTGTGTCCATTTATTTTCTGTAATGAAGAAAACAAAGCTGGGTCAGCTCTTCAGCCTCCCAATTTGACATTTCATAGCATTGATCTTGAGGACAAATTCTCTTTCTTTTGCAGCTGCAGCCGCCTCCGAAACATTCAGACCATCTTGACACAGAGCAGCAAATCTCAGCCTGATGGAATCCTCTGCATTTTAGGTTAGTGTTACATTTTTTGTTCTCATTATACTGATAAAGATACCACAAGTTTCTGAAAGAAGAAAATCATCTCCTTCCTGCTCCAGGCCCCAGCCTGGTTTCTCAAGGAATGAACAGCTGATTGATACACTCTCTTCTCCCTAAACAGTTCTTCAACCTATTTACTAGTTTTGGGCAAAGAATTTTAAAGAGTGGCCTGAGAAACCCAGGAAGCAGTTAGTAGTTAAATGTTGGCACATAAACAGCATGTGGTTTCAGTGCTTTATTTCTTCTGGGATTGGGAGAATAGGGCAGCAGGAAATAAAGGTGGATGTGTGTGCAAGTGTGCTGTAGGAAAATAACAGGGGTTTTGTACTGCTTGAATACCATTTCATTGACTCCTGTTTCATATTATATAATAAGTGTCAGGATATTAAAGGAAAAATGCAGAAGTTATGATTGAAAACTTGAGTCTTTAGAGAAGAAGACTGAGGACTGATTGTTTAAATAACAGATTGCAGTTAAAGAGAAGAAGTCTGATGTAGCCCTCAAGAAGCTCTGTGTAAGAAGTGATACCAGAGTCTGTTTTTTCAGGAAACAGTTTTAGTTTTATTCTATTTTTTAATGATGCAGCAAGAGAACTTAAAGCTCATTTACTTGACCACAAAGTAAAATTTATAAATATATATAACCTCATTCTCTTTTAGTTAGTGCTAACTGTACAGCATGACCCTTCCTACCCTACATTCTCTGGGGTAAGAGGTTAAGTCTCTGGCTAAGTAGTAACTGTACAGCCAGAAGCTCTGTGAGGTCACTGTGTCAGCCTTCCAGTGAAACTTAATCATATAGGATAAACTCCTTGGGTTTTGCCTTTGCTGCTAATTTAATTTCATAAAACATGTTGACTGATGACACTGCAGTATTTCTTAATTACTCTGAGACTGCAGAAAGTCCCAGGTAAAGAACAGTCACTGAAAACATGACCCAGCTTTAAGGAAAGCAAAGGAATTGCTTTGTGTAATCCTCAGTGTCGCGTGGAGGATTTAATTCTAGTCATAAGAACATACCTCCTAATAAATAAGCACTTGTGGTATGGAAATATAGGTGGTGTGTTTTGTTGGGAGATTTGTGCTTTGCCCTGATCTCTCAGCACCCACAATGGGGCTCTTGTCTGCTCTGCCCTGGCTCCTGTAGCCTGCAGAATTTCTGGCATAACTTCCATTAAACAGGCATGTCACTGTTATAAATGCATTAAATCTGTCATCAAATACAAGCTTCAGATGACACTGGAGTTAATGCAGTTCCCTCACCTCGAGTTTCATACTGGGCTATGAGATAAAACCAGTATAAACTTCCACAGCTTTGCTTCAAGTTCATTAATATTTGTACTGAAATTAAACCCAGCATTATGAGATCCCAGAGAGAAATGAGATCTGAACCTCTGTTGATACAAGTATTTAAATGTAGTTACAGCTGATTTTTTTAGAAGTATCCTGTAATCTGATTTTAAAGGGGTTGCATGGTAACATTCCTGCATTCTTTACTGGGGGAAAAAGGCCTCACTACTGACAGGAAAAAGGAATTTGGAGGTTGGTATGTCAAATATCTTTAAAAAGCTGTGATGTCTCAGCTGAGTGTGTTGCTGTTCAAACTGGTCTACTTAAATTATACTGTAAACTATTTTTTGTGATAGTTATAGTGATAGTTTCTTGGCACCTTGCCTTTCACCAGAGATTTTCAGCTCATGGTTCAGTTGCTCTGATTTCTGAAGATGTGCATTCAGTGTGAATAGGGTGTGTCTGTAACTGGAATTGTCACTGCTCTGATTGTGGATCAAACTGACCATTCAGCACAGCTGAATTTTTGCAGATATTGGTATTTATTTTTTATTCTCTTCAAAGAGTGTGGGGATACTTTCAAGGCTGTTCCAGTAAATCTTTATTTTACCTTAATTTTGTTCTCATCTAATTCTTTAGATTATTTTTTCTCCATTATATCCATCCTTCACAGAGCTCTCCCTACTGGGGTTTCTCCCACATCCTAAAAACATTTAGTACATAGCACTGATTGTTCATCCCATTCCCTTTCCAAACAGAGCCCATTTTAAGGATTATTCTGCCATTAGTTGCAGAACTGTGTGTTGCTTTTGGGTCAATATCTAAAGGTGATATGTCCATTCCCTCCAGCCTCACCCTGCTGCTCCCTCCCTGCTGTCCCCACGTGTGTTTTACATCACTGCTTGGTGCCGTTTGGTATCTTGCACCCACTTTAGCCAGCAGACAGATTTTCCCCCCGGATTTGGCCAGAATGTTTTCTGCCAATTTAGCAAACTGAAAGGGGAGCAGGAGCGGCTCCTCGGGGCTCGGACTGACTCATTGTGTGCCCGCACCCCGGCAAGGAGCTGGGAACAGGCGGGGGAGTTTCCAAACTCCCAGCTCAGCTGGAGACAGGCGTCGGGGTTTCCTAATTAATGGCCTTGCCCATTGTTCTGGGGAGGACTCCTGATACGCTCTCGGGGGTATCTTATCTTGGTCATTGTTTCATTTCCTGTTTGTTTTCAGCTAGCTATATCTGTTCCTTTAACTCCATATGTTTCTGTAGAATAACAGTAAAGCCTCAGTGTGAAAGCTCCTCTCTGGATAGGATACTTGAAAGATTCAAGTAAATCACAAATCCCAAATATGCTGCAGAATTCATGGTTTTGTGTTAAACAAATGCCTTCCCTGAATGCTTTGCAAGCAATAAATTCATCTGTGTACTCTAAGAGTTAAATCTGTCAGCTGTCCCCCTTTAACATCTTTTTGTTTTCTGTTCCCCTCCTTCTGTCATTAACTGAAAAACCAGAGGCTTTGGCTTGGAAGATCTTCCCTGCTTTTTTTTTTTTTTTTAAGTGAGGGCAGTTTCTCATTTTTCTTCTGATCTTCCAGGAATCAGAGTCACAGGATCATAGAATGGTTTAGATTGGAAGGGACCTTAAAGATCATATGGTTCCAAATCTGTGCGATGAGCAGGGACACCTCCCACTATCCCAGATTGCTCCAAGCCTCGTCCAGCCTGGCTTTGGGCACTTCCAGGGGCAGTCACAGCTTCTCTGGGAATACCCAGTGCCAGCCCTTCCCCACCCTCACAGGGAACAATTCCTTCCCAATATCCCATCTATCCCTGCCCTATGGCAGTTCAAAGCCATTCCCCCTTGTGCTGTCACTCCATGCCCTTCTCCCAAGTCCCTCTCCAGCTCTCCTGGAGCCCCTTTAGGCCCTGGAAGGGGCTCTGAGATCTTTCTGGAGCCTTCTCTTGCCCAGGCTGAACGCCTCCATCTCTCTCAACCTGTCTGTGCCAGATTATTGCTCCTCTGAGGCTTCAGAAGATGCTTCAGTTACGCAGGTAATCATGAAACAGATTATCTTCAGGATATGGTGTGTGCTCACTTCCCAAGGCTGCAGCTGATTCCAGGGAGACTGATTACATTTAAATGGAGCTTCCTAAAACAATGGGACAGTTTCTTCCTGAAAGAAGGGAGTCTCTACTTGTTTGTAACTAAAATCCCACCTAGACACGAGGGCTTTGGCAGCAATATTTGTATGTTGAGTCCCATTGAATTCCAGATTACATTGGTGTGCCTGCTTTCATGGGGCTGAAAATGTAAATAAAATAGAGGGGTAGATATGAATGAGAGTTCAGAAGCTGCAGGAGAATAGGGATTCAAATATTATGGCAGGAAAAATTTTTTGAGGGCTGAGAAAGCTGTGACAGATGTGAAACAGCTTTCCACCAAATATCAGATACCTTGGAATACATGTGAGCTACCCAAAGTTACTGAGGAAACAAAGAGTTTATTAAGATACTGGATTCAGTAGCTGGATGCAGACACATCATCTGGTTTGCACTTTAAAGCTGAAGCATCACATGAAAAAGGAGCATAAATAGGAGAACCTGAGGTTTGTTCTGATTTTTGCCAAGTTCAGGTGACTCTTGACTGGTGTGGTTTCCAATTCAAGTCCCGAAACTCAGATGTTCAGGTCCTGTTATTACATTATCAATGCCCTGATCTCTCCTTTAGCAGTGGTAACAAATCCTAATTTGTTGGTAACTGTTCCACTGAATCCTAATATAACTTGGTAGGAAAACTTGCCATTAGAGAAATTTCTTGGCAATAAAAACTGGTGACTTCTGTGAAATGTGGATGGCAAGGATGCTGCTTTATGTGCAGCTGTACTTGTTTGAGAAAACTGGATATATTATAGTAGAATTATGACTGTGACTGTCATCCAGAGAGATGGAGATTGATGAAAATAGTTTCTAAATCTGTGACCTCATTCCTTTCTTCTTGTATTTATCTTCTATCTCTCCATGCTCCAGATCTTCAGTTGTTTTCACTGAATTTTCCCAAGGACCAGGAAAGGTTTCCTTGGAAGCTCTTTGTGCCCTGTGTGTTTTGTCAGAACTTCTTTTCACAATTTGGCAGAAGTCTGCAGTGGCTCTCTGGTGACTCAGGGATTGCTCTATAACACTGACAAGATAATGTTTAATCATGTATTCTAAAGCAGGAGATTTGGGTCATGGGATTAGTTTGTTAGGAAGCTTCAATCAAGAACATATTAATTAGAATGCATCCTGCATCCAGACAGATGTTTGAATTACTAGAAAAAACAGAATTTTGGATGCAGACCACTGCAGAAAACAAGACATTTAAATTTTTTAAGGAATACTTTTAGATATAGGTTGAAAGGGAGATGTCAGCATGTGGCAGTGATCTTGAAAAAACTCCTTTTTCCCTATCCTGTTCTTTCAGTGTGTTCAGTTGAGGAGCTGAGTTCATACTCCTGCTTTAAAATTTAATAAATTAAAATTCTAATAAATTAAATTAAATAAATGTAATTTAATAAATTAAAGTTTAATAAATTGAGGAGGAAAATAAACTTTTCAGGTGTGCAGTGGTAGGACACACAGTAATTCTCCTGTGGTTTTGCTTTTGCAGGGATAGACAGTCGATACAATGAAGGGTGCAGGGAACTGGCAAATTATCTGCTCTTTGGTTTGTACAACCAGAACAACAACGACTTTGAAAGGACAGGCTTTCCTGAGGAAGTTCTGGATGGTGAGTAATGTTCTCAACATTTTTACTTGTTCTGGACAGAAGATGAGCAGAAAAAGGGACTTAGAAAAAAAAATAAAGGTCTTTAAGTCTTGAGTTGTCTGTATATGCCTGAAAATACCTTCTTAGAAACACTGCTGAAGGACTGATTTTTAAATAAAATAAATATTAATAAAAATATATAAAAAAATTGTATTTTTTAATACAAAAATAGATATTTCATATGTTTTGTGCTCCACAGTTTATCTCAAATGTTGTAAACTTACAGAATTATAGCCCATTAATTCAGTCAATATATGTACATGTTATTAATCATTGTGTGATCAGATCTCTGCACTTGTAAAGTACTTGAGCTCTTTTTTTACTTCACCACATTAACTCACCTTTGTCATACTTGGAATATGGCCAATCCCTGTGGCCTTATTATTCCTTATTATTCCCTTATTTGCATGAAACTTTTGGATATCTCCCCCTTGGGCTGTGGTGCTGACAGTTTTTGGTTGAAGCAACTCTGATGTAATGTCAGGCAAGAGCAGCTGGAGTTTAGAGGTCTGGAAGTGCTCTGGGAAGACTCACCCTGACCCTCTTGGCTGCACAAAGGACAGGCTGATGCAAGTTCTGTGCAAGACTTGGGAATGACCCCCCATTTGTCTGGAACAGTAATGAGTGCTCTTGTACTTGGAACTGTCTGTGGCTGCCAACTGTTTCTTCTGCTTGTTTAAAAGAAATCAGGAATTGCTGAGCAGTTTTCTTTTTTAATGAGGTGCATGATTGAAAAAATGTTTTCTGTTCAGTTTCTCTTGTGTGTGGAGTCCTGATGCTGGAATATTTGTTCTGCTTCTTGCAGATATAATCATATTAATAAAACCTGACAGTGTTCATCTGTACTGCAACCCTGTGAATTACAATCATCTTCTGCCCTATGTGGCACACTGGAGGAACTTGCATTTCCACTGTCTGACTGAAAATGAGGTAAGTGAAAAATGAATGCAGACAAGATTTGCTAATGAACTTGTTAATGAAGTGATCCTTAAAGTGAAACTTTTAAAAACATTCTTTCCAGAAGCCTTTTTTCTCTTTCCCCCTCAGCAGGGGAGTGATATGTGTGGATATCTGGGTATTAAGCATTTACTAAAGTGTGCAAGAAGAATATGTTGTCAATACTTTTATTTGTTGGAGCGTGAAGACAAATTGCTCCTCTCTCCCACTAATTGCTGTTGTTTTGACCTGAGTCAGTGATCTTTTAATGAGGAAAAAAATGTGGGTTGTGAAAAATGCAAAATGTGAATCAAGTATCACAGTCAGCGCTGAGATTTCCCACATCAGCCTTGTTTGCTGCCAAAGCAATGTCTGCACTGATTGCCAGTAGTTTTAGAATGTTAGAAAAGATGGGCTTAGTAAGTCCTTTAAAATGAAGAAACTTCATTATGTATTTTCATTTTAACTGTTAAAATGTTCCTTCTGTCGAGAACTGTTAACCTCACTTCCACTACATCCCATGACTGATGTGAGTTTCATCTTGAACTTAAAAGTCAAAGTATTCTAGAAAAAAGTCCATTTATTGCTATGAAGTATTTTTAGAGGAGTAAAAAATGAAAATACTCTTTATCTGGGTGTAGAATAAGGAACTTTTTCATTCCAGTGGAGACTGGAAATGCTTCTTCCTACACTGAGTTCTATGTAGTTCCTTTTTGAAGTTAGAATTATACTGAATTCTGTAGGGAGTGGGTTTGGAGCTTGTGATGGTGAGTGAAGCCAGTGGAAAACTTAATTGGAGAGTCAGGGAGAGAAACCTTTTTTGTTCCCTTGAGTTTCCAGCTTGGAAGTGATGGGGCTTATAATAGACTGATTGTGTTTTTATGTGTCTGGTTGATATCTTAGATCACAGAATTAGGAAATAATTCAGATTACAAGGGACCGCTGGAGATCATCTTGTCCAACCTCCTGCTTCAGTGGTGAGATCAGATCAGGTTACTCAAGGTCTTTTTGCAGCTGGGTGTTGAAAGCATCCAAGGATGATGACTGCAGAACCTCTGCTGGCTGGCTGCTCCATTTTCCCACTGTTCTCCTAGTGAAAAAGTGTTTCCTTTTGACAAACCCAAACTTGTCTCATTTTAAATCATGACTTTTATTACAGCCACTGTGGAGAGCCTGACTTCACCATCTCAGTAACATTTTGGTATTTTGGTGGGTTTGAGGTGCAGATCCTGAGCAAGGCTGGATCTCTCCTTCTGGGACAAATGCTGCATCCCACTGATTGTGGTGGCCCTCCACTGATCTTGCTCCAGTTTATAAATACCTTGTCCGTAGATCCCAAAACTTGTTGTGGATACAATTCCAGGAGTGCAGCAGTGAGGGATAATTCTTGTTAGGATAGAACAGCTGAGCTCCAGGTTAAAACATGCCACAGCTAAACCTGAAGCCTGGCTTCACAAGGCCTTTCTGTTGCCAAAATCCCTGCTGAAAGGGCAAATCTGATGCTGGGAGAACACGTGCACTTTGGAATCAGGAAGAGAGAAGTTCTTACCACACAGTTGCCAGTGCAAGTGCAATCTCAGCTATTGAATTTTAAGCTTCATCTGCTTATGGGCTTTGATATGATTTATCGTGGTAAGCAGGAACCTTAATCGTACAGCGTTGCCTTGAAATAATGATGTAATTGGCATAGTAAACCTTGTTCTTGGTGGAAATGAGGGGAAAGGTTTGATTTTGGAAGCTGAAAATACTGTTCTGCTTCACTGCTGTTTGGTATGAGTGAACTGAGCACTTCCAGTCACATTCCCAATGTTTAAGAATTGCCAGTTTCCTATATTACTGCTGAAAGACAAACAAAAGCTTGCTGTGTCAGGCTTTAAGTGCATCCTGTTTACAGGAGAATTGCCTGCAGTGGCTTTTAAGCACTTAATTTAGTGATAGAAATAACTTCATAAAAATGAAACCAAAAAAGCGCAGGAATTTTAGAAATAAATATAGTAGCGCTGTACCTGGCTTTGGAAAAACATAGAACTTCTCCTTCCTTTTTTCCTTCCTACTTGCTTTAAGTAGACCACTGGCATTTAAGAGTATATCCTAGCCATTGGGGAAAAAAATCCTGTATTACTAAAAAAATAATGCCCATGTTCAAAGTGGCCAAATGGGATAAAATAGTGGAATTTGCTGTAGTAAATTTTGGGGTGTCACGGTTGAATTGACTATATTTATTCCTGCAACAGCAGATTGTGAGCAAAGCTTTAGCACCCTGCCAAAACCCAAGTTCTTATTCCAATAACATTTTTAAGTCCTGAGAAACTGGCAGTTGTTTTGGGCTTGGCTTTGAGCTGCAACTTTGATCTGGCTTCCTGGGATGGGAGAATGAACACACCATGGAGGAGCTGGGGCTGCATCTCAAATTCAGGCTTGACTTAAAAGAACTTGTTCTCAAAATAAATGTATTGGGTGTACCCTGAAGCTTACAAAAAGTTCATAATCATGTCATTTGCCTTGATAAGAAGCTCAGAGTGCTGTGAATAAAAATGAAATAAAATAAAATAGGCAAAACAGCTCTGCCTTCTGATCTTGCTCCAGAAAAGAAGTGGCTCTTGAAGAAGCCAGCAGGGCTAGACCTGTTGGTTCCAGACTTGCTGCTAAACTCCTTTTCATGTCCAAGTCAGTGTGTTTTCAGGTTTATGTTCTGTTATAAAGATGACTTTAGTGTGATTTGTCTATTCAGTCTGGTTTTTATAATTTTCTGTGTAAGGATATTTGGTCTTCAGTCTACTGAAGTCTTCAGACAGTGTCACACAAGGGGTTTCTCCTCTTCTTGCCTCCTCCTTTTCTTGCACTTCCCCCTCTGACTAAAACAGGTTCTCATTGCCTAATCTGTGCCCTGGCGCTTATTCTGTCATTGATTTTCCTTGCTCAGTGTTGTTTAGCTAGTAATACAGTATCTTATTTTAATGTTTTTTCCCTCAGTGGCATGCTTTTTGTGGCACATCAGTTGGTATCATCAAAATTACTTCATCTTTCAAATCTAGATGTTGAAAGACTTCACTGAAAGCTGAAAATAAAGTCTATAATTATGCCTTTGTATGATTAAAAACTTTGCTTGGCTTGAGTATATCCCTGCCATGATGGGATTTCTAAAATACAGAAAGTGGTGCTTGAGCTTCTGGAGGCTGTAGGTGATATTTTAGTGCTTTACATGCTGCATCTTCTCTTTCCTACCAATCAAATTAGGGCATGCCTAATCCAGTTTGATTTTAAATGCCTTCTTCTAGTATGAAGATGAAGAAGCTGCAGAGGAATTCAAGATTTCCAGCTTTGTGGACATGGTCCGGGATTGCAGCCGCATTGGGATCCCCTACAGCTGCCAAGGTAGGGTGGGTTATGCTCAGGGTGGAAGTGTTTTGCACCCTGCAGCTGCAGGGAATGAAGATTTCCTTGCCTTAGGAGAGAAATAAGGATTAGTAAGTCATTAGTTTCCTTTTAGCCTCTTTTTCCTTAAGAGTTGAATTTCCTTCTGAGAACTGGAAGTTGTCAGGGTTCATTTGGAGAGTGAATGCCCCCAGCGTGAGGCAGAGAAATGATTTGCATTCAGAGCAGTGTCTTGAGCTGCTACAGAAGTTTTCTGTTCCCATGGGAGCTCCAGATAAATCCTTCTTTATGGAAGGGAGGAATAAACATTCCTTTATGCAAGTTTCCTTTTTTAGAACTAAAAAAACCTGCCCTGCACGGCTTCCTGTTGGGATCTGGAGCCAGCCTTGAGCCTCAGCAATGTAATCTTGCATTCTTTTTTTATTCCTAATGCTTTATTGCTTCCCTTAGGGAAGGGTGATATGCTCTGACTGCCTGGAAAGTCATTAGTGGAAGTGCCAGGAGGAAGAGTTTTCTTCTCCCCCAACTTGAAATTCTGATTAAATGGGGATGATGGAAGAAATTCCTCGTTGTGAGGGTGGGGAGGCCCTGGCACAGGGTACCCAGAGAAGCTGTGGCTGCCCCTGGATCCCTGGAATTGTCCAAAGCCAGGTTGGACAGGGCTTGGAAGAACCTGGGATTGTAGAAGGTGTCCCTGACCATGACAGGGGCTGGAGTGGGATGAACTTTAAAGTCTTTTCCCATCCAAACCATTCCAGGATTCTGTGATGCTGACAGTATTTACTTCAGGCCAAGTATTTGAGGAACTGTGTAAACAAAACTCCCTATTTATTATCTTGAATTTTAATTGTTAATCAGCTTATAATGAAGTTTACAAGGACATGTGAAATATCCAGAGGAAAAGGGACAAAATTTAGGGGTTAGAAGAGCTTCTGCACAAAATTATTTTTCACTTAAAGCTTTTCAGTTGTACAAAGATGTGATAAATGAGACCCTCTGTGAATCCCAAGAACTCAGGGAGAGCTGGAGTGCCAGGATTTCTGAGGGAACGTTGCTGTGTTTGCTTTGCAGGCCACCTGCAGATATTTGACATGTTCATCGTGGAGAAGTGGCCGATTGTCCAGGCCTTCGCGCTTGAGGGGATCGGGGGCGACGGCTTCTTCACCATGAAATATGAAGTGAGTGCTTCCTTTTGTCATTTCCTTTCTGAAGCAGGAGTTACTCATGGAATTCTTTTGTTTGGAAAGCGCTTTTTGAGATGATCTGGTCCTGACTCACTGCTCAAGTGAGCTGCTAAATTGGATGAAGTTTTTTGGGATCTTGTAAAACTGTGATAGGATAGAGACTCTGTGGTGTTGCTGAGATTCTGTTCTGGGATACACAGCACTTTTTCCTGGATAAACCATTATTTGGACATTCTCTCCAGGTCTCTGCTGTGATTTAGAACTTTCCTTTCTCTCTAAAGCCACCTCTACCAATAACCAATTTTTTTATGCCTAGATGGATTCTTTTACCCTTAATTTTTTTTAGAAGTGTTTTAGATCTTCAGGTGCAGAGCAGAAGGAGCTGGTTAGTGACAAACACTGTGAGATGAGCTCTGAAAATAAGGAAAGATTATTTCTTGGGTCACTCTTTTTGATTGAAGAGATACATCTCTTCTCACTGACATTGTATGTTCATGGGTCATCATACCCTGCTGAATAGGGCAACAGTCAGGATTTAATTGCTCCTCTATTTAATAATGATTTGCTGTTTCACTCTGAGCAACTTATGTCATTGATTTGCCCATTTATTAATGCTCTGAACAACATTTTCAGATGATAGCTTTGCATTTCTGTGCTTGTTTAAAGCTTCTTTGATTTCATTTTTTGAACCTCTGCCACAGCAATGCAGATGTTCCATTTTTCTTATCACTCCTCCATTTTTACAGCCACAATGGGCTTTTGTCTGACTCCTGATAGCTGGAAAACCTCCAGAGAATTAATGGTGCCGTTGTTAAAGTCTCATCATATCTAGAATTGTACATGCTTGCTCAGAAATAGGCTCTGAGAGTTCCTATTCTTTTCTGAGCACCCTTGTTTTCCTACTGGTTCCTTTCTTCAGGGTTTTTTTCATTCCATCACTGGTACTGTAACACCTTGTGGTGTGAAGCTGCCCAAACCATTAAACACAGAGTCAGTCACCCTTCTTGATGTCTGAAATGAGTCAGTGAAAATTTGACTGGCAATTCAGGAGCTGTCTGGGTCTTCAGTTGCCCTTTAATTACCCCAGTTCTTTTCACAAATCTGTAGAGGTTCTGAAGAAAATGTTCAGGCATGGTGGCACAGACAGAACCTCTCCTGTGTAATCCAGGGAGCTGATACTGTCTCCAGGCGCTCCTGAATGCTTAAAAAGGAGCAGGGAAAATTCTTGGACTCCTTTTTTAAGAGCAATCATATTGGTTCTGGCAGTCCAGCCAGCTCCAGCTGGAGTTCTTGCTTGCTTCCTCGTTGAAATCATGAGGGGATTTCAAATGGGAAGTGACATTCCTAACTTTTTAAGTGTTTGTTTGGTTCTGTCAGGCAGCTGCTCTGTGTCACTGATGGGGGAGGAGACCAGGCTGAAAGTGCATTTGGGATCACTGTAAATGATCTTTAAATTAATTCTTCTGCCTTTGTTAAAAGGGGAGTTTTTTGGTGCATTTTTTAGCTCAGACTTTCCCTCTGAGATTTTCCCTCTGCTGTGTGTTCTCTTAGATTTGAGTGTGAAGAAAGGATGGTAATTCATTATTTTTCCCAGTCTTTTAAAGGCAGTTGCTCTTATACTGGAGAAATCAAAGTTGCTCAAGATGCTGTAATTTAGAAAATTTACTGTATTTATAGGAATGGAATGGAAGTGAGGTCTGGGAAATCATTATTAACATCCCTAATTACATGAGTATCTGGAATAACTGTAATGCAGTGGGTTAAGAAAATTCCAGCCAGTATTACTTTTTTAACTAAGTGGATGATAGGCAACCCTGTAAATGCAGAATCATTCAGATACAAGTGTCCCTTAAGAGTATATTTTTAAATAATATTCTCATATGCAACATCCTGCTACTTGGAAGAAAGTATTGCGAAGTTAAACTGTCTTGGCCTGAATTTACATCAGTTTAGAGCAAGTATTGGCTGATGCTCAGGATGAGTAACCCTGGAATCGACTCTTGGCTGTCTCAACTCAGAAAACTCATCTTGCCCTTATTCCTGCACCAACTCATGCAATTCTCTGCTATTAAATTGAAAAATTTTGTGAAATGATTTGTTTGGAGGCTGCTTTGCTCCGAGTTCAGACCCTCACTGGTCAGGTCTTTTTTAACAGAGTAAAAATATTTGAGAAATCAGAATTAAGGAGCACTGTTAGACAGGGCAGTGTTCCCCAGTGCTGTCTCAGATTAAACCAGAATTTATGGCCTTCTTTGTGGTGCTTTTCACAGAAATGTGTTTTAAAATCTCTTTCAGTTAATGGATGTCAGTGCTGACTTGTGGAAGACCTATAGCAAAATGGATCCTGTGTCCTTGGAGGATTTGCTCTTTGAGGTAATGCAGGTGAAATGTTTTGCCTCAGCTCCTGCTTGGTGTAACCACAGAGTAAAAGTGTTGTGATTTTGTTTGGTTTTCATTAAGTTTATGGGCTGAATCTACAGGTTGTGCCTGCTGCTGCTTGCAGGGTCTCCCCCCATTCCTTAAATCTACTACAAACTGTGCAAAACACTAAAATAACTTGTCTTGGTTTCCTTGAATTTATTGCTTTGTCTGAAAATCTTCTAAAAGTTTTCCTTCATGTCATTAAACCATGTACAAAATACATGAAACTGCTGTGGTTTTGTGCTGATTAACAAAAAAATCCCCTTTAACACACAACCATTCTTCCAGGACTAAAAAGCACTTTTCAGATGTTTTGTAGCTCCTTTAAGTGGGGAACAGTGCCACTCAGTGGCTGCCCTGATGCTTTGGGAAATACAAACAGTGGGAAAGGATTCTCACATTAATGCCATGCTCTGATCTCAGTGCTAGAGCAGAAAGTATTGTAAAAATTAGTAGTATTTATAATAATAAATTATAATTTATTATTATAAATTAAATATATAAATATTATTATTTATTATTATTCATTAAATATTAATATTTAATATTATTAAATAGTATTAATATATTAAATATATAAATAGAATAAATAAATATTATTATTATAAATTATAATTTATTATTATAATTTATATAATTTATTAGTATTTATACTGTAATTGTATATTTTTATATATTTTATAATTTATTATAAAATTTATTATATTTTATTTATTTATTATATTTAATTTATTATATTTTATAATTATTGTTCTATATTAATTTTTATCTATTTCTAGCTTGACAGCAATTTAATATGTATGAAATTCAGCAGTAATTATCCTTTATTAATAAAATATTGGTAGCTCACACCAATTTGGTTGTTCAATCAGCTGCTGTAATGAAAATTAAAATATCATAGAGTTTTTACAAGGCTCTCAGTCTAAGTAATCACTCTGTTATATTTCACTTCCCCTTTCTGTTTGGAAGTGAGATTAATGTTTGGGACTGGTCCTGCACTCTGAGCAGACCTATTAACCATAATTTAAATTTTCATCCTGAATGTTGTCGTTAAATTGACTTCAATTTTCTGAAAAAAGTGAACATAAACCACAAACCCACAAAAAGACACCCTGAAACCCAGCAGAACATCCTTATCTTCTAAAATATATTCATTTTCCTAAGCTTATTGTTTCATTCCAGTGAAATGTCACCTTTGCCTTCATTTTTCTTGCCTAAGGAAGTAATGTCAAATATTTTCCTTCCAGGATTTAATGATTTTTGAGCACCAGTGGACCAACTTTTTTGCTAATTTTGACACTGAAATTCCCTTCATTCTGGAACTCTCAGAATCTCAGGCGGGGGAGGTAGGCTTGCTTCAGAAGTCCTTGAGAATCCTGCTGGTTATCCATGCAGAAGAAATAATTATTCAGCATTCTTTTGGGCTTTTTTTCCCCTATCCCATCTCACTTTTCATGTTTGAGGAGTAAAAAACCACATGGTTTGGGTTTTTTAAGTCACCACCCACCTTAAAAATCCGTGGTATGACGGCTTAGGATTGCTTGGGTAATTCAGTCGAGTGTTTGCTCGCTGATAATTCAATTTATATCTGCACAGGAGATATTTTCAGGTAGATTAACTTGCATTTGGATGGAATCTGATATGTGCAGGGCTTAACAAGTTCAGTTTGCACATCTCAAACATAACTGAGGGGGTAGCACTGAGCATGGGAGAGAACAGCACAGGATTTCTGGGGGTGGCTGTTGCTTTTGAAGTGTTTTGTTGCTTTCTTGATGCATTTCAAAGCCTTTTGGTGCTTTTTTGATGCATTTTGTTGCTTCCTCTGGGATAGTATGATGTCCCTGCCCATGGAAGGGGGTTGGAACTAAATGAGCTTTAAGGTCCCTCCCAACCTAAACCATTCAATGATTTAATAATATGAGAGACTTAGTGGTGTTTGTGTTAGTTTGTGGAGGTTGGAAGTATTTTTTGAGGGTTCAGGAGTTTTCTCTGAGAAGAATAATTCAGGTTTTATTAGTGGTAGGGTATTTCATACTTCTGTTGATGTACTTCTTAGTAATTTTTGTTTTCAATTCTTCACAGCCATTCAGAAGTTATTTCAGCCATGGCATGATCTCAAGCCATATAACAGATAACAGGTAATTATTCTTGTAATTATTCCGTTATTCCCTCTGGTGTCACTTCCACCTCAGTATTTTATTTCCATATGCCTGATGCTATAATGCTTAAAACTATTTTTTTGGTATCACCTCAGTATATCAAATCTCATACTGAAAAAAAACCTGTGCAAAGGCACTTGCTGGAAGGATAAGCTGAATTTTCAAAGTGTTTAAATGCTGTAGTTCTTATATATACCATGAAATTTTGTGCATTATGGTTAGTTCCATCCCTGGGAAAGGTTGGATGGGGCTTGGAACAACCTGGAATAGTGGAAGATGTCCTTGCCATGGCAGGGATTGGAGTGAGATTATCTTTAAGGTCCCTTCCAACCCAAACCATCCTGTGATTCTGTGAGAGAGTTTTAACCAAAAGTCGTTGTTTAGCTGAAGGTTCTGTTGCCAAGTCTACATTTTGCTGTTTAGAGCTAATCAGGGTTTATTTAACTACTTCAATCTCTGCACATTTTCCTGTATTTGGAGTAAACCAGTGGAGTTCAATGCCCTTTTATTGCTGGCAGCATCCTCTGGTGTTTGCATTGCCATAAAGAAAAGAAAATCCTTGACCTCTCCAGCTGAGTCTTGGGCACAAAGCCAGAACTAAATCCAAAATAGTTTTGTTTGTTTCCAACATGGTCATTTCAGGGTTTTTCAAGATGGTGAATTTTAAACTAAGCAGCTTTTCAAGGCAGTTTAAGATAAAAGAATCTCCTAAGAGCATTTGGGAATAACCTTGAGATAAATTCATTGTATTTGAAAAAAATTATCTTTTTAACGCAAGTAGATTTTTTCTTTAGAAATTGGTTGTTTCACTGTGAAGCTTTGTGCAGCTTTAGTAATTTTTTTCCTTCTAGTGAGAAATTCAGCAGTTGGTCCATCACACTTGAAAGCTTTGATTTCATTTGTTGGTTGTAAACTTCCTGCAAGTATTTTGGTGGTGATTCCCTCTCTCCTCCTCAGCCCAAGCCGGCAGCCCTTTGTCCTGTTTGGCAGCCACTCCACGAAGGAAAACTTGAACTCTGGCAACTTTAATTTTCCATCTGAAGGACATCTGGTTCGAAACACTGGCCTTGGTGGAAGCACTGCCAAGCATATGGTAAGGCTTTGGGGAAGTTATCTGAGATTTTGGAGCATTGTGTATTCCTTTTTTCTTTGTATGTTTTTTGTGCCTGTCTTCCATGAGTTAAATACTTAATTTCTCTTAACATAAAGCACCTTAGCAATCCATCAGTTTAAGAAACAAATTTAATTTTTCTTGCTCTTTCCAAGTTAAACCATACTGGATTCTTAATCAGGGACTGCTGAATGAGTTAAATTAATTTATTCTTTGGAAAAAGACAACATTTGCTGTAAATGGGTGGGGGAGAGGGAAATACCCTTTGTGAAGGTGTGTGTCCTGGCCACAAAGTGAAAACCTTCTGTGACACTCTTAACTGTGACACACAGATTGTATTTTAATCACATTCACTTAGCCATTTCTTAAAAAAAGAAACAAAAAGCCACTTTTTTTTTTTTGTTAACTCCTTTGTGTGGGATACCTACATGTATCCAAATTCCAGCCTGTGCTCAGACACCTATTGATGAAACTCTGAAAAGCCTTTCCTAGTTGCAGGACTGTTCTGATGAAGTTGCAAAGATTAACTTGTTTCCATTTCCAAGTAAAAGCTGGGTTGTTAAACATTTGCTGAGCTCCGTGGCTCCTTGCACCGCGGCGCAGGGGCCGTGCCTGGGCAGGCGACCCCAGGGAATTGGGATCCTCTGGCTGGAGGGCCTGGGTGGCTCCAGAAGGCAACTGGCAGCGAAGGAGGAGAGAGGTAGAGTGTGGAGAGAGCTCCCTGCTGCCTCCAGGGGCTCTGGGAGTGGTGTGAGCCCTGAGCAGGTGGATGTGGCCATGCTGGAGTGAGCGCATGAGTGAGGCCATGAGTTCATGAGCTTGTCAGCATTTCATGTGCAGCTGCCTCAGGGATGGATGGACGTGGGGCTTCTGGACACAAATCACGTGTCCAGAGCCTGAGAAAAGAGTGGTTTTGCATCTTGGTGAAATCTCATCCTCCATTTGCTGCTCTAACACTGTTTCTGTAAAAACACTTTCAGTTCTGTCTTTCCTTCCCTTGTTAACAATAAGATTCCATTTTATACCTTTGCAAATGCAAGTACTGTGTTATTCTGATGTACTTGCTCCGTCTGTTGTCCTCAGATTCTGATGCTGTTCTTAAAAAGGTGGTTTATTTACAGGTACAGGTGATACTGTTTTAATAGGGTATCATGAAAATAGTAAATAAGACCAAGTGCCAGCATAGTTATGGGAACCTGACACACTTTCCTCTTCATGAAAAGAGCAGTTGACATAGGAAATTGAAAACACAAGTCAGAGCTCATCTCCTTTCCAAAGTCTTTCAACCATTCAGGTCAAGTCAAAAGTGAAATAGACCTTTGAAAACGTAAGTTGCTTTTTCACAATCCAGTTCCGTCTGTGTTGTAAACTTCTGTAGTCTGTCAGTGCTTAGAAGACTTAAGGGGAACGTAGTTAATTGTTAATTATTGCACCAATTTGTTTTACTGATGTCTTTTTTATCTCATTAATACTGACTGCTAGGTAGTGCAGTGTGTATCTCCAAAGGGACCTCTGGCTTGTTCAAGGACCTATTTTTTTGGAGCCACTCACATTCCTTTCCTGGGTAAGTGCATTAAATACACCAAGGCAGTTTTTACCTCTGATTCCATGAAAATTTGTAGCAAATTAAAAGCTTTGCTTCCTTTATAAGCATCAGGCCATGGAGTGGTAGATTCTGTAGCCAGTGCATGAAATCTTAGCAGATTTTGTGGGTAAAATCTGTCAGATCTGAGTGTTAAACATAAAATCTTTCAAATCTCAGTGTGCAGACCCTTTTTAAAGCATTAAACAAATATTTAAGTCCATGTTTCATATAGATTTATAAAAAAAACAGTCTCCAAAATAGAGAAATTCAAACTGGTAACGGTCAAGTAATTGAGGATTTTCGAAGGATGAAGAAAATTCTTTCACTTCTGTCTTTTATCCTCAGTATAATGAGATATGGTAGCTGTAATCCCAAATAAAAATAATCCATGTAAAATTTTTTAAAAAACATTTTTCTTATGTGTTTTAAATGGAAGAATCCATGGATAAAGTCAGTCCTTAGGGTTATCTTGAAAATGTACTGGGCTCAGAAAAGCTGAAGAGAGGATGGCTGGAGGATTGGAATTACAGCCTGTGTTTGCCCTAGTAGCATAAAATACTGGATAAATTCCATTTAAGGTGTGCAGCAGAAATGTTCTCACAGTACTTAAACCAAACCTTTTTTGTTTTTAATACAGGAAATGACAATGAGATGCACAAGCAAGCTGAGCAAGTGTAAGTTGGCAATTTTTTATATTATTCCTTAACTCTTCTCTCTTCCTACCTCGTGGCAGTAGGTGAAACCTGCTTTTAGTGGCTGTTGGCATTTGCAGAGACATTTTTATTGAGAATAATGTGCATGGGACAGAGTTTCAAAGGCAAAATGCTTGTGAGGAGTTTCAGTGGGTACATGAGGAGTAGTTAGTGTGACAGCAGCAGAGTAGGAAAGGAAATATTAGTAAATTTTGCTCAAATTGTAGTTAAAAGAAAGTGTTAATAGCTACTTGAATAACTTTTTAAGATCCTGCAAGTAAAACCAAGGGAGAAAAGTCTCTCACACTGTAGCACAGGTAGAAGAAAAAGTAATTTTTTGATTGGTTTCATTAACCATGTGTAAGATTTCTGATGCTTAGAGAAAATGCCAACAGGGAACACTCAAACTTCTGAAGAAATTCACTGTGTTAAGGTTCTGTCAAAGATAATTTTTTCCCAGAAGTTGGGAAGCTGCAAAGCTTCTGCTTGTTTTAACCTTTTCAAAATCAATTATTTATCCATGTTGACATCCACTTCCTCTGCATGTTGTAGATCCTTGTCCAGCTTGGAGAACACAGTAGATAATCTGCTTTGGTCCTCCTCTCTCTCTTGATAAACCAAACCTTTCCTTAGAGATTTTGTCCTCCTTGTTAGTTGGGATCATTTTAGGAGCCTGTTTTTGCTTCTGCAAAGCTGTATCACCTGGTAGCAAGATATTAAAGATATTCAAGATGTGTCAGTACTGTCACACTAAATACTATTGACTCTTGGTAAATGTGAGACATAAAAATGGAGTTATTGCACTGAGCAGCAGATTTTCCTTTGTTTTAGAGAAAATGGAACTCCAGCAGGTATTTTTTCTTGCATTTACATTCTGCTCAAACGTTTTTTTTTTGTCCTCCTTCAAATATCCTTTGTACTAAATACATTTTAATCAAGATGAGTAGAGAAACTCTAAACAAATCATGGATTGATAAAGGGAGTAATTATAAAGGAATATCTTTTTCTTGGAAGCATCCCTGTATTGGTTCAAATAATCTAATTTCAACAGTAGCATAATTGGCTTTTTTTGACAAACCTGACTTAGTTTGCAGTTGAGTCCTGTAACTGCTTCTTACAGTTGTCAATATTTTATAAAAAGTGAAATAAAAAGTGTTCTATGAACACTTTTCATTCCAAATTTGGCTGTACTGATTGCTTGGAGTACATAAGCCAATGCTGTAAATTGGAGGATAAACTGGGATTAATTTTGTGGTTTTATTTTTATTTTAAGAAAATGCTTCAAAAGCAACACAAGAGAAATCCTGTGATTTTTTAAAATTTTTTTCCCACTGATAGCTTTAAAATATTTAAAAGGGAAAAAGAATAAGATAAAGGACACCTCACTGAAGTGTTTTCTTGCAAATATATGTGTGAATTTGATGGAAAATAAGAATGGTTACAAAGTCTGGAAGAATTATAATATAAAGGAATTACATTTATTTACTGTGTGCAGTGAAAACATACTAAGTGCATATGAAAGCACAGGAAATTGCAATCCAGAAACCTGAAAAAATAGTGAAAAAGCTGAATTTTAAAATCACTTGCTGCTGTTGGGGATAATCAAGCTTTGGTGCATTTTGAGGTTCTTCCCTGTTTGGGATCTTCAGCTGATTTTTTTCCATCCTTCAGGAATGCTTTGCATTTGGCTTAAATGCTGTATCCTTCTCTTTCCTCCCCCCTCTTCCCTCCCTCAGTATTGGCAGTGGAGTAATGAGAAAACTTAAAATTTAGGGACTGATTTTGTTGATCTGCTCATCTTTTTGTTGTGATTTAGCAGGAAAACAGAGACTGATGTTCCTTGGTTGGGCACATGTGGGTTTTCCCCAGTGGTTCTGGAGCTGTGTCAATGGCTGAAAGTCACTCCTGGCTCCACCTGACTTTGGTCTAATTCTGCACATTTTTTTCAGTCCCCTTTTAAGAAGGGAATTGGACTGAGCTGGGGTGGAGATTTTGTGGAATGGTTTGGGTTGGAAGAGATCTTTAAAGATCATCTCATTCCAATCTGCCAGGAGAGGGAGGGACAGCAGGGACACCTCCCACTATCCCAGGTTGCTCCAAGCCCTGTCCAGCCTGGTCTTGGACACTTCCAGGGATCCAGGGGCAGCCACAGCTTCTCTGGGAAATAATTCCAGGGCCTTCCCACCCTCACAGGGAGTAATTCCTTCCCAAAATCCCATCTATCCCTCCCCCCTGTCAATGTGAAGCTATTCCCCTATGTCCTGGGTGCTCCAAGCCCTGCTTTTAGGATGTGATTCTTAAACCCAACTGCAGCAAAAATCAACAGTAAAACAGATTTTTCATTCCTGACCAACAAAAGCACCAGATACATTCATGCCAAGAATTATTTCCCCAATACATCCTGTAATTTGAGCAATTTCCTCGCCCTAATTTAATTTTCTTGAACAGAAAGCTTAACTATAAAGCTACTTCTCCACTTATTTCAACAAGGACCCCTTCCTTATTATTAAGGGAGTTGTGCAATGAGAGGAAAAACTGCTCCTTTAAAGAGAGGAGGAAGAAAACTCTGCCTGTCCAGTAAATGTTGTGTTTGTATTTCTCTTCAGTACGCTGTTGTCGCAAATATATTCTGCTGTTGTAGAGGCTGTGCTTGCTGGCATTGAGTGCTATGCTAAAACTTCCACTGAATCCAAGGTAAATGAAGCCCCCTGTAATTGTTCTCTCTCTGTAATTGTTGATTTGGATTGCTTGCAGTATGAGATTTACGTGCAAACCAAAATGAAAACCAAAATAATTCCCATGTTTCGTTCAATGGAATAACACAAGGTTGGTATCCTGGCCTCCAACCAGGCTCTGAATTCTGTTTATAAAAAAAAAAAAATAAATAAAAGAGAGATTTCAGAGTGTGTCTAATTTTACCCATCTCCAGTCGGTTTTCCATCTTGTCATGAATTTTCCTGACCTCACAGTAAGGAAAATGAGATCTGTGAAAGGACAAATTTTAGCCTGGTGCATCAGTGTGTTACTGTTTAGTGTCTCTTGTTCATCTTATTTGCTCCTGGAGCTGCTGAGGTTTGGAAGGATGGGAAAAGATATTTTATTCTTTTATTTCTTTTTTTTCTCAGGCAAAGGAGGTGGCAGAGCAGGTGCTCCTGTCTGTGTTAGACACCCTTGGCTTAGCACAGCTGAAATCTGCTTTACGGTGTGTATTTCCAGGGTTCCTCATTGCTCAGGGTCCCACTGGATTGGCTTCTTTGGGGGAAAAAAAAATACCAATTACAAGCTGAAAAATACTAATTTCAAACTGACTGCCAGACTTCAAGACTTCATAAGGCATTCAGCCTTTAAAAATCTTTATAATTATTCTATTTTCCAGTTTTCTTAATAATTTCTTTTGCTTTAAGTCTATTCCTGCTTATTTTTTCCATTTAAAAGTATAAACCACACTTTTCACCTGTACAATTTCTTTTCTACAGCTCCAAAATCGCTTTTCAAATTCAGGCTGTGAACAACCATGGCAGGTTTGTATCACTATCTTACAACTTCTTGTTACTAATTAATGCTTTTCATGAACTAATAAATTAATTTTTGTCCTGCAGAAACCCTTGTGTTTGATTATTTTATACAAAATGTGCTCAGTGCTTTTGTGTATGATGTAGTTCAGTGATTTCATATCTGTAATTCTGTGGAATCTTAAAAACATTAAAAGGAATAAAAAGCAGTTGGGCAGACTAATTTTATTAACTGTTAATGAGTAGAAGCATCATTGAGCTCATTAAGAGTTTCCTTTTAAAAATGCTTTTAACTTAGTTGCTATCATAAACTTGTGCTTATTTAAACCCCATACTAATAGACTGAAATGACCTGCACAAATAAGTGTTTATTTTAATATTAAACAGCTTTTTTGGCTGCTGTGGAGCCACAGAAAGATGATCTAATGTTTAAATATTTAATTATCATTGTTGTTCTAGAATTACTCCGTTAGATAATGAGGACAGCCTCAGTTTGATCAAAACGGTAAGAAATAATAATATTTATATATTTAATTAGAAATATAGAGTTCAAGTGTCTGTTTTCCTGGGGCATAGTGAGATTTTTATGTGAACACAAGTGTAAAGGGAGAGATGAGAGAGATTTTAGGTGCTGGAAAAGGTTTAACAAGAAGTCATAATTCAGAATAAAACAGTAACACAGATTTACGATCTCAGGCTTTAACCACAATATAGAAATAGTGGTTTGGGATGTTTGAAAAATACAGATTTTGCTGTTCCAATTGAAATATTTCAAGTTCTGCTTTCTCTTCCCTTCCCTCCAACTGCTGGGTTGCTGCAGGCATCCATGATGGTGTTTGACATTCCAGACCTGCTCACGGGAAGAGGATGCTTGGGATCTGTTGTGTTTTCAGAGTCCTTCCTGACATCACAGATACAGGTCAAAGAAAAAGGTGAGCGGTTTAAATTCTAAAATTCAGCACCACTCTTGTCCTTCTGTTGGCTTTGCTGTGATGGGAAAGCCAGAGGAATTCCAGTGGATGTTTTTGCTGTTACCCTGATGTGTTTAGAGCACTAAAAGCAATGGAAGAAGGCATGGAAAGATCAGAATAAATCAGGATTTCTTTGGAGCTCTGTAGCAGCTCTGTGTATGTCGGAGCACAAGTGAACTGGGAGTTAATCTGCTGTGAAAGCTTCATTTAAACACTCAGAAATTCTTAAAATAACAGGATTTTAACATTTACTAAAGAAATTTCGAGTCTTAAAAGTAACATACTGGGCAGTCTGAAGTCTATGGGTGGTATTAGTCTAGTGGCCACAGTGATATGAGGCCAAAGGTTGGATTTGGTGACCTTGGAAGTCTTTTCCAACCTTAATAATTCCCTGATTCCTCTGCTTTGCTTCCCGTGGCTTCCCTGCAGATGGCAGCATCCATCCAGACTCGAGGCACGTTATCCTGACCGCAGCTATCCCGAGATTTGCTTCCTGGCTGGTGAGTGAGAGCACACAGCCTCAGCTCATCCACAAGGCAAAACTTGGTCTGGGAGTGTGGATGTCTGAGGGAAAATATGGAACTTGAGCATTGAAACAGAATTTTGTAATATTAACATACCCTGTTTTTTTAGACTTGGACAGTAAGTGAAAAACTAAGTGGAAACAAGCTGATCTCAGGTTCAAGACCTCTAATGCACCTCTAGTTACTCTGTGTGAGATAGAATTCCAAAGAATATGACAAAGCTGGGCATTACCCTTTGGCAATGCATGCTTGAACAGTAATAAAAAATAAAATTGCATGCTTTTCACCTATATAATATTATTTTAGTCATAAAATAATTTAATGGGGAGAAAATGGTGCAAGAAATTATTTTGGTCCCATGGTAACACAGTATTAAGAGCACAAAATTGGTTTTGAAACACTCTGGGCTTAGGACTTTTTCTGTCTGTGGTACCTGAGGTTCTTGTTGGCCTCAAAACTTCTTTAATGCCTTTTATTTAATGTTAGATTTACTTTATTTATATAAATCACAATTCAAATGGAAGCTGTTTCTGGCTGCAGGTTGAAGACAGTGATGTGAAACTGTCTGAAAAGGCACAGCAAGTATTGAAGGTAAAATTAAATATTTTTGTTAATCTAAAGAAGTTACACTTTGTTGAACCAGTATTTGAGAAGCTTGAGCTACTACCAAACTCTCTTTTTGTTATGTGTGTTACTTCTCTTCTACAAAACTTGCCTTTTTCAAACTTTGACATACAAAATAATATATTGTGTGTAAAAGTTTGAGGGTTTCTTTATTTCAAAGAATCACAAAACCCAAGAGCAAAAAGAGTCCTAATAAAACTATGATTTCATGGAAGTATCACTAAACACTACCCATAGAGCTCATGGGTTTCCAAAAGCCCCTAAAACTTGATGCAACTTTCTTTTAACTTAATTAGCATGCTAATGTCTAAAAGAAAACACTCTAAGCACTAGGAAAAAAAAAAAAAGAGTTTGGAATCTGGGAACGTCTTAAATCACATGAGTTTCACATTTGTGGTGTAATTTGTGGTTCCCAGGAATGTTCATTATAAATAGATTTATTTTCATGTAATATACTTCTAGCTCAGTAGATTGACAAACTAAAAACAAAAAGCTCAGCCTTGTGGTTGTGACAATAACTTGTAACTTTGTAGCTGCTGGCAAAACCAAAATGGGGGGGAAGGCTTTTAAAAATTATCCTTTTGCCTTGCTCTGTTTTCCTGGTCCTTCTGTATCCATGCAGGATAAAACTATTTTAAAAGTTCTTGACAGATGCTGTTTGAAAATTAAATATTTTCTCTTGGAGCAAAAGCAGGAGAAAATGTTTCAGCCTGGATTGGTCCTCGATCCAGTCTGTGATGTTGCTGTTTGTTTTTTCCTGTGCAGGAAGACAAATCTTTCCTGGGCACTTTACTCACTGGGGGTGATGGAGTTTATATCTGTTCCAGCAATCCACAGGCCATGCCTGCAGAAGGTGAGATCTAGGGTTTTCTTGGCTTTTTTTTTCTTGTTTTTTCTTGTTTTGTCAGTTTTTGTTTTGTTTTTAAACGAGAGAGAGATTCTGGGATTCACACTCTGATGAGCCAAACTGTGCCATCATCTTAAACTTTCAATTTGCCTTTACAAGTCTCTTGTGTTTAATTCCATGTCTGGTTCTTTTGTCCCCAACCTCTGCCTGAAAATCCTGGTCCTGGAAGGAGAATTCCTGCTGAGCTTTGGTCACTGAAGCTTTGCAGGACTGGGAGGTGGCTTTTCCCCATAGCTCACATTCAGAACATGCACAGACTGGCTCCTCCTGTCCCTAACAGATGAGGTGCCAGATGTTTTCTGCCTTTTCTGTCTCTTACAAACGTGAGGTTGGAAAGATCTGCCATTGCAGAAGTGCTGTGGGCAGGAGGAGGAGGCAAATACTCCTCTCAAAGCCTCCTCCTGGAGCTGGCACGTTCCAGTTTTCTTCTGCTGGCATTTTCTCTCAGGAATTCAGAGTTTGTCAGCACAGGTACTCACTGTGGTTCAGAAAAATGCCAGATTTTGGTCCTTCTCAGATCCAGTCCAGTTACAGCTTTTTGACACAAGATCCCTGGCAGCAGCCTTGGATTATTCCTCCTCTTTTGGTGCCTTTTCCTTCAAGAACTTAAATAACATGAGTATCACAGGAATAGGACTGGAGACAATTTGATAGGACTGTTAGATTTTCCTCCCTCCTCATACCTTCAATAGATACTTTTTAAGCCACAGTACTTCTATATTCTATATATATATTTTATACAGAGAAGGTGGTGGTGTCACAGTGCTGATAAATGACTTTGTCACTTATCTGACATTAAGTGTTTGGTGCTGACAGTCTTTAGAGGAGAACCTTCAGTTTTATTGTCTTTGCCCTGGAGTGTTGAGGATAAATAATGATGTGCAAGGCAATTAAACAGCAACCCTCACATAAGGGAAGCTGCTTTTGCTCTAATTGATCAGATTTCAAAGAGAAGAGGTTAATGCAGAGTGTGATATTCAGCTGTTTTGCAATGCAGTGCTGTAGGCACTCCTTCACTCAGTAAATAACTGGAGAATGCTGCATTTTTTTTTAAATTTTGGAGCTCTGTGTGCCCCAAAGGAGCAATTTACTGGGTTTTTTTTGTGGAAATCTGTGAAGTTCAGTGTTTTACTTACTCCTGAGTTGGAGAGTTACAAGTAAGTGCTATAAAGACCATTATGAAACATTGCAAGAAGTGTGAGATTTTTTTTTTTTAGGTGTTAAGTGAAGTTGATTTTGTTCCCCAGTTTGTTGTGCTCAAATTCGGGCTCTGCTGAAGTTGCAGCCCTGTAGTCTGGCACTATGAGGTGCAAAAACTGCATAAAATTCATGGAATAGTTCAGGTTGGAAAGGACCTTAAGGAACATTTAGTTCCAATGCCTTGCTATGGGCAGGGACACCTTCCACTAGCCCAGGTTGCTCAAAAATTTTTAGTTATTAAGTTAAATTTTAATTTAAAATATAATTATTAAGTCAAATTTTAAATTAAAATTTTATTATTAAGTTAAATTTTATTTTTAAATTTTATTATTAAGTCAAACTTCAATTTAAAAAGGATATTTTAAGTTAATTTTTAAAGTTTAAATTAAACTTAGTGTTTAAATTTTCCGCTTAAAGGTTTTTATGCTGTTTAGTTTGTTACAATGCTTAAACTTCCTACTGTTTGAGATGCAATCGTTACTTGAGTTCTTGTATTGTCAGTTTGGTATTTCTGGAGGTTTGAAATTTGACAGGATGGAATTTCTTTGCTTTTAATTTTAAAAAAATGCCACAGAATATTTATGAGAAGTGGTTCTGTGGGGTCAGATGAACTCAGATGCAGTGGTAGTCACGATTCCTGCCCTTGGTAGTGTGCATCCAGTAAAGGCTGAAAGGTTGTGCTCACTAAATATTACCCAAATCAAATTTACTGCTTGTTAAATACAACAAAATCCTGCAGGAGCATAGAATTCTTCCTCAGGAAGAAGAGACAGTCATCGTGAGGAGCTGAAATGTTGATTTATACCTCATACAATTATTTTTCCTTCAAATTCTAGGCAAATTGTATTTCTTTTCCGATGGAATTCTGTTCTGTGATCCCCACCAAGGCAGCATTTCCATTTCCAAGAACCACATGAGTTCCATTTCTCTCTATGATGGGGTGAGTATTTTGTCTCTTCTTTCTGTCATAAAGTTTACATGGATTTTTAACAATAATTCTGTTGGGTCCTGGTAGAAAGTTAAGATTTCAGCTTCAGTTTTAAGTGTTTGTACAACTGTAATAACTGATGCAAACCTCTGCAGTTTTGGTGCTGATTAACTGAAATTAGTGAGTAAGGAGGAGAGAATTTTGTATTGGAGTTAGCAACGTGGTGTTAATAGTGTGGAAACTGCTTTTTATGAGAATTAAAATTACAGAACATGACAAAAATTACAGAACACAACATTCATCAAACATCTCACACAGTGTGAGGGGATGGAGAAGAGTTCAGAGTGTGGTGAAATGTTTTTGGAGGGTAAAACGCTGCCTTTTTAATAAAAATATATTTGAATCTCTCACTTGGCTTCCAGAGCAGTGTTCAAGTGCTCTCAGTGGGAATTGAGAGGTTAATGATGGCAACTCAGCTCTGTTCACCTCGAGGCAGAGACACTGGGTTAACCAGCACTTCTTCAGGGTAAAATAGAGATTATTTGTGTTGGTTACTGTTTCCTAAACACGGAGAGAAAAAAAACCAACCAGTTCCCTTTAGTTTCCCTTTTGTTCAGGTACAGTATTCCCCATTTGTTCAGTGGCCTCCTGCAGCATTGTGCTGGGTGATTTCATCACACAATAGAGGAAACCAGTAAAATACAATAAAAATGTGATTCAATTGAGATGAAAACACAGCAGCTCAGAGAGTCTTACCTTAGCTGCCTTTTCTTGGACATCATATTGATTGCCCCTCGGTCGTTTCAGAAGCTATTTTAACACTGACCTTCCTTTGATTGTTTGAGTCAAGACACTCACTTTCATAAAAGTTGCTATTTCTGGGACCTGGCCATCATTCTTGAATAGATGCCAGATTTTTGTGTGAAGCTAAGCCTTGACAGGGAGTGTGTTATTGTTCTACTGACTTGGCAAAATATGAGGGTGGAGAGTTTTTAAACTGTTAAGAAGTGACAGGAGAAGCAGGGGAATCGTTGGTTGCTCCTTCCAAAAGTTACTGCAGCAAGATGGATGGAAAAGAAAAAGGAGAATTTAGTGCTTGGATTAAAATAAAAGATACCAAGCCTTGAAGTGATGCAAAATGCATTTTTTTAGCAGCTTTAGCATGATGCCAGTGAGATATTCTTTTTTTTTTAACTTGAAAATATCTGCTCTTCTGTTCTTGCACATGGTGCAGATTCTTGTGAGGAGCTGAGCTCCTGAAATCCCTGGGGCTCATGCATAGAGGGCAGGGGAGATTCTGGCCATTCCTCAAGTGAACAAATATTACCAAGCAATATTTAGATTTCACAACGACATTAACATCTTGTAAAACTTGGAGCTGGCTCCTTTCAGCCTCGTGTCTGTGGGGATTATTGCTGCTGCTGCTTTTCAGCTTTTTTCAATTTGTGGAGCCCAAAATGTTTTCCAGGAGCAGATTTGTTGGACATTTCTCATGCTGACAGCAGCGTGGATGAGCTGGCCTTGGAGTCACTTCTCAGGAACTCTCTAAGCCATCCTGCAGAATCCAGGATCTGTGGATTCTCTTCCAAAAGCCATTTTCTTTTAAAAGAAATTGTTCTCTCTGAGGAGAATATTTTTAATGTTCTTCAGTAACCTTGGTGACTTTGAGAGGATTATTTTTATAATTAATCCCTCAGTCAGCAAAGCAGAGAGATTCTGTTTGCAGTGTCTCTGAGTTGATACCAGTTCTTATGTAAGAGTTCCCCAACTTGAATTTTTTCTTCTCAACGAGTACAGTGAGTTCTTTGCCCATTTCTATTGAAAGTGAAGGGGATGCTGCTGAAATTCTGATTTGAGTCCTACATAATTGAATTCCCATTTCCCAGAAATATTTCATGCTTCTGAATTGTTCTGATTTTATAAAACTTTGATGTGAAGAGGGTTACAAGTCAGAGCTTGAACATGAAACAGTTCAGCATCCTGTAGATTTGTACCTAAATGCCTGTCCTGGCATCCAGAGTCATGGAATGGTTTGGGTTGGATGTTTTGGGTTGGAAGGAACCTTAAAGCCCATCCCATTTCACCTCCTGCCATGGGCAGGGACACCTTCCACCACCCCAGGCTGCTCCAAGCCCCATCCAACCTGGCTTAGAGCACTTCTAGGGATGGGGCATCTCACACCACTCTAGGAAAAAACCCCAAAACAAACTAAAAAATAATCCAAGAAAAACAAGTCAGTGTTTTCTTAGGATAAAAATTGAACCTGAGTTCAGTTCTTCTGAGGCTGAACCTCAGGGCTTCAGTCTCCCTTGACACCTTTGTAGCTGGCATTTAATTAATTTTTCACATGCTGTCTGTGAGGGAGATGTTGGTATAGACAAAGTGTTTGTTGTTTGAAGCAGCAGCAGAGGGAGGGTCTAGGTTTTGGTGTGGACAAGAGAAGATACTAAAATTCAAGCTTTGATTTCAGGACAAAAGTTTTTAGTGCTTAAATGAAACTCAAATCCTTTATTTTAAGCTTGTGACACCTCCAGTAGTTGCAGAGTAGAAACTGAGGGGTGCTCCACCCCTCCTGCTCCATCCCTGTGCCATGCAAAAGTAGAAAACATTAATTTTAACTTGTCCTGTTTCTTCCTTTTCCAGGATTCCAACAGTGTTGTTGCTGCTCTCTTTATAGACTTCAAAAGTTCCCTGCTTCCTCATCTCCCTGTTGAATTCCACACCCAGAACAACTTTCTGATGATTGCACTTTTCCCCAAAAGAAAGATTTATAAAGCTTTTTATTCACAGGTAAAGTGAAAAAAAAAGTTTGGTTGGGGTTGGGGAGAAAGCACCTAATTGCTCTGTGTGTTTAAGATGTGTGAGAAACTCGAATTTCTGTACGGATTTCCAGTGGTGGTGCTGCTTGTTCAGTTTAATGCTCCCCATGTGCTTTCACTTTGCCTTCTGAAGGCAGTGAGGGCTCTAAAATCTCTTCTTCTGAGCTGCATTTCAATGTAGCTCTGGTGTCTAATTTGCTACAGGGATTGTATGGAGTGGCAGAGGTTCCATTGTGTGTTTTTGTGGTCAGACACATTTGGATCGTGATCCTTGGGGAAGTGGAGTTAAAGTTTTTAAGTCTCCCATATGGCATTGTATTATTCCCTAAGTAGATTGGCTTTGTGCATTGTGCTGCAGAGGCTTTTAATAAACCCAACTTTATAACAATAGTGCTTTTGAGGAAATGAGCCTGGAGATTTTAGGACTTCACAAGGATTTTAGGATGTGCTCATCACACTGGGTTGGAAAAGACCACCTAGTTCAGTGAGTAGTCCCCACTGGTCATATTAATGGTACCATAAAATGTCTCCTCCTTTTATCTTAAGTGTTTAAATTCCTCCCACTGTTCCACTCTGTGAATGGTTGGCAATCTGTTGTTTGTTTGTATTTGAATTTTCAGCCTATTTTATTAATTCTGCTTTTATATCTGTTTTTTCTTTTCTCTACCAGAACACATCCTCGAGATACTCACAAATTTCAGATCTATTCTTTCTGCTTTATTTGGCCTAATAAAACAAAAACAGATCCTTTTTAATCTATGCTTATAAAAAGTTCTTTTTTCTTCTGATAGTTGTGATACTTTTTCTTTTGATCTGGTTTTTGGCTATAGGTATGCAAGCTGTGTGTAGTATCTGAAATTAGGGTGTTTCCTCTGCTGCTTTTTCGCAGGGTTAATTATTCCTGTCCTCCTTTGAGTTAATTTTTTTTTGCTGTACAGGTCCACACTGAGGTTCAGTTTGGTCAGTTTAAGTTTCTCATCTGGCATTACACCAGTTGCTTTGCTCAAGCAGATAAAACAAAACTTTCATCTTCAGGATGTTCTCTCATGAGCAAAACTCTTCATCAAATTGACTGTACCTGATTGTGAAAACCATGTAAATATATTGTTGTGTTTTATCATTATTTACCTTCAGGTGTTCATTGATTTCCTCCAGAATTCTTTCTAAAATTCTGTGTGCCTCACAGGTTACTAAAATTTAGGTGCTGCTTCTACTCTTCTCAATTATCTGGCTTGATACCTCGCTCACTGCACCTATATTTGATTATTTCAAGCCTCCTGGAAATAGGGAATTGCAACTGCCCTGTTACCCAAATCTGGGTTTGTTAGAAACTGCGATGTTGAGCCCACAGAGCTGAAATCTTCTGTGATCCTGTGAGGAGGATGAGGTGATGCCTTTCCCATCCTCACTCTCAAGAGTACAGGAGGAGAATTTATTTAGGCTTTGGGATGTGTTGATTTCTCTCATTTTTTTTCCTTCGCTGCTGTAGCAGCTCTTTTTCTAAACTTTCCTTAAATTATACAAAAGGGCCTGATACATTTCCATTTTTAAGCCTGACCTGTGTTTTCACTTTATCCCCAACCCTTTGACTCTTACAGAAACAATTTTCCCTCGACCATTCCTTTTTTTCCATCCCTCCCAGGCATTTCTTTGAGTCCCCCTCTGTGTGTTTTGAAGTGGTTGTTTCTTTGCTTGTGTGGATCCTTCTGCATGAGCAATATTGCCTTTGTTAATATCAAAAGTATATTTTATTTTGATGGTTTTTTATCTCCTACCCTTGTGTTTGGGATGCTGAGTTTTTAATGGAAAGCAGTCGTGTCCCCCCCCCAGTTATTTTGTCTTGCAGAGAGTTATTGTGAAAAACGACAATGGCTGTTGCCTTTACTTATGAAAAGAAGGGAAATTCCAAACACTGACAGGACTTTGTGATTCATCTGAATCTGATTTCTAGGTTCCCATTGCCATTCAAATTAATGTGTCTTGGCTGGAGCAATTGGATGTGAGCCAAAATGTTCCCTAGAGAAAAGAAGGGTTTCCTTTTCTTTTGGGAGGGAACAGAGTTTTTCTTCAATTTCGAGTCATGATTGCTGCAATCTCACCTCATGAAAATTACAGCAGTGCTTCAAAGAGACTTGTATTAATTCAGTTCCTGCTTTAGAGCACTTGGGCTATAAGGACTTATATTTTTATCAAGAAAAACGAGGCCATTTCAGTAAATTCCTAAAGCACTTTCAGTCTAGCCAAAGAAAAGATTGCAAAATCTGATTGGTGGATTTGAATTCTTTATTAGTTTGGGTTGGAAGGGACCTCAAGGCACATCTCATTCCAACCCCCTGCCATGGACAGGGAACCTTCCATTATCCCAGGTTTCTCCAAGCCCCATCCAACACTTGGACACTCCCAGGGATGGGACAGCCACAGCTTCTCTTGCAGCAAAACCTTTATTGTGCAATATTTAATGGCGTGTGAAAATGTGTCAATTTTTTTTTTTTTAGGTGAGCAAAACCAATTCCGAAACAAATTCCAAGCAAATTTGGAAAAATAATGACACTCATGCATAGATCTGGTTTATTTCAGGTTTTCTCTTCATGGCAAAGCCAGACAAGCTCAGGATTATCTTTAAGGGTTGTCCAGGAAGAATTCCTGTCTGAGGAACAAAAGAGGCTGTAAGTTCCTGCTAGTGCAGTGCAATTGCCCAAAAGCTGCAATCAGAAAAATGCTGTTATTTATTGTTTTTGATAATAATTAAATTTTATATTAATTTTATAAAAAAATGGTGCATTCTTAGTACAACACTCACTTTATATATTTTTTTTTGTACCACTTAATATGTAGCCATGTGGTTTAAAGAAGAGAAATTTTTAAGTTTCTCCTTTAACTGATTAATTAATTTCCTTCTTTTAGGCATTCCAGTGTTCAGAAGCTCTTCAACGCCTTGTCTTTTTCATCTGGGGAGAGATGCAGAGAGCTGAAGCTGTCTGCTGCCATTCCAGAATTGAAGAGGTGAGAAATTACTTTTGACTTCAAGGGATTCATTCTGTCAGAAATGATACAAGGATATTTTGGTAGATGTGATAGCCATCTAAAAACATTTCTTAAATAATTCTTTCTTTACGCTAGGATGTTTTTATTCTGAGATGAATTATTTCCTCTATAGCTTGACCTTTTAATACTCTTGTTTTAGTAATTTCCCAGCTATTTATATGGATGAAACCTTTTGCTGTCAATTTTAAGGAAGTAAACCTTTTATTTTTTGGAAGGTTTATGCAGCACTTCACAGTCAGCAGCGTCAGTACCAAGCCAGTGATGAGAGCACATCTTCCTGTCCTTCTCCAACAGTCAGAAACCATTTCTGACAGCAAAGCAGAAGGTGATAAGGTAAGAAATCAACTCCACAATAATTCCTAGCTCTCACATAGTGTATTTGGAATATTCTGGCAGTAGTTCTTTCATAGTGTAATAAAATCCTAATTGTGTTCAGCCATGCTCTGCCTCCTCCTCCACTACCACCATTTTTTTTTGCCTTGTTTTTCTGATTATATACTTAATTTTTTTTTCAATTTAAATGATCTTTTGGAAGTGCAAATGGCCTTTCAACCAGATGAACCAGAGGCAGAAAATGAGGTGTAGATCTTCAAGTGAAGTGTTTTCTCTAATGCCCAGAGAGACTTTGCCCTAAAGCAGCAGCTTGTTTTTTATGAATTGCTGAATAATGTAACTGAATTGTTCTCTGGAACATAAAAGTCCTTTAAATAGCATAGAGGTAGCACATGATATTTAACATTTGCTGATATTATCTGTACAGCACTCCTTTCTCTATAGGGGCTATAACAATTGTCCAACTTAAGGCGTGCTTTAAATAGCATATTCAGAGAAAATATTTCCTTGGAGCTTCCCAGCTTTTGAAATCTGCTAAAAACAAAGTCAAAACAACAGGAATATAATATTTTCTTTGAATATTGCTGGGGTCTGGTTCAGAAACCATTCTGACAATTAATAAACTTAGCAAGGTTTTAAAATCTGATTTTAAGCTTGGTTTAACTGTGGATTTTTTAAAAAAAAGAAGTCTTTATGAATCATGGAAAACAACCTTTTTGATGTCTGCACCAGTGTTTCTGTGTTATTTTGTGTTTAGACTTCCCCTGTTCCTGTGTTACAGGTGATCATCACTATCATCACCGGGCTGCCAGGATGCCGTTCCACCGACCTGTGTTCTTTCCTTGTCACTTTTACCAAGGAGCATGGAAGGTTTGTGCAGCTCTCCTTACACTGATCACCAAAAAACAGCTTGACATGAAGAGGAAAAAAAAAAAAAAAAATCACTGTTCAATTTGGTGGTTTTTTAAACCTAATTTCAGTCTGCCAGGTAGATTTGCCCTTAAGTTTATATATTTAGGCAGAAGAACAGCACAGGAGATTTTTGTTGCCTATTCCATGTGGTGAAGAGCTTCTGTTCATTGGTTTGTAGTGATTCTAAAATTTTGTTTTGAGAAAAGACTGTACTAACAGTCCTTGCCATGTCATTGTTTTTAATTTAGCCTGATTTGAGGTACATTCAGGACATCTGTTGTATGGCAATAAGATAAATCTGCTGTAGGAATTTGCCACTCTGTGTGTTGTTAGAGCTTCTGTAAAATAAAAAAAGAATCTTAACCTTTTAATTCTTACAGCCAAACACCTTAACATTTAATCTTAGCCACATTCTGCCCTGTTTTTTTACTTTTAACTCAATGTCTTGGTTTTATCAAGTTGATTCAGAACAGTTTTGTGGTTCTGTTACAGGGCAGACACATAAGGTGACTTTTGAAGGTTGTGTAATAACACATCTCATGTTTTCTGCAAATGTCATTCTTACTTTCCATTTTTGCAGTGAAATATTTTCATCCCCGTAGCCTTGAATTGGATTTGTCTAATTTTTGTTTACTGCATCACTGCCAGTGATCAGAATTACTCATGTGATGTACAGCTTTGAAAAAGCTGGTGAACATTGTTTTATTGAAAAACAGCAAAAAAACACCCACAAATCCCCTTGGCAGTCATATAAAGAATGTGCTTATGCTGGAAATGACAGAAAGCCAAGTAAATTCCCTTCTCCCACGTGGCCAAGTGGAACGAGATCACGACGAGATGATGAGAGATGAGGAATCTTTGGGCTTGTCAAACTTCATTTTGGTGTGTTGATTCAAAATAGGAAGAGAACAGAACTGTATCACAGCACATGAACTTTTTTCCTCGTTGTCTGTGCTTCAGGTGGATTGTTTATCGGCAGACCATGGATAGTCCCGAGTGTTTCAGTGCTTCCCACTTCCAGCGTTTCCTGGCCGGGCTCCTGGAGGCCCAGCAGAACCTCGGGGTCCGTCAGGCTGGGAAGAGCAGGAGGCTCCTGGTGGTGCTGCAAGGGTAAAAGCTTGAAACTCTTGGAACTGTTGTGTGGAATAAGGGAATTCTGGTTTACTTGTGGACCAAACTCAGCTTTTCTGTCCCTGTTGATTTTGTTGTTACTTGGAAAAAAGGTGTCTGTAACCTTGATTTCCATGTTCTGGAAACATTGTGCACTCACAGCCCAGAACCCAGAACCAGAACTGTGCCCTGGGCTGATCCCCCAGCGTGGGCAGCAGGGGAGGGGGATTCTGTCCCTGGGCCCTGCCCAGGTCAGACCCCACCTGCAGAGCTGCCCCAGCCCTGGGGCCAACAGCAGGAGGATGTGGAGCTGCTGGAGAGAGTCCAGAGGAGTCCAGGAGATGCTCCAAGGGCTGGAGCCAGGCTGAGAGAGCTGGGGGTGCTCACCTGAAGATGAGAAGGCTCCAGGGAGTCCCTTCCAGGGCCTAAAGGGCGCTCCAGGAGAGCTGGAGAGGGACTTGAGACCAAGGGATGGAGGGACAGGACATAGGGAATGGCTTCAAATTGAAAAAGGGAAGATTTGGTTGGGATATTGGGAAGGAATCCCTGGCTGTGATGGTGGGGAGGCCCCTGGATCCCTGGAAGTGTCCAAGGCCAGATGGGAGCAACCTGTGATAGTGGAAGATGTCCCTGGTTGTTGCAGAGGGTTGAACTAAGATGACCTTTAAAGGTCCCTTGCAACCCAAAGTGTTGTGTGATTCTGACTGCAGAGCTGCCAGCAGAAATCAGCCTGTCAGAACCTGTTGCCTGATAGAGCAGGTGATAGCAGAGGAAGAGTTAGTAACGTGTTTTGGATAAATGCCATTTTCCTTGTGGGGTAAAGGTGAAGACTGAGCCACCTCTGGTTGACATTTCCATCTCCAGTGTAGCATTTGAGAATGAGGATCATCTTCTGAGTCATTAGAAGGTGACACAAACCAATGTGAGGGAGGCACTACCCTGACCTGGCTGTGATGATTTCCAGTTTATCCTTTTCACTGAGGATATACAAATGGAGCTCAGCACTTTCTTCATTGGGGTCCATTCTGATAGTGCTAAAAACATAATTTTTTTTCCATGTTGGAGCCAGATTGATTTATTTTTTTGTGTAATTAGTAGAGATGGTGTAAAGTGCAGTGATGGGCGAAATAGCTGATACTCTGGTAGCAGCACTGGCTTCAGGAACAATTGGAAGTCTTCCATTCTCTCTGGATAGTTGGATTTGGTATAAACTGCTTTAGAGTAGCTGGAGTTCTCTAAAATATCCTATTCAGTTGATAACTTGACAGTAGAGAAAAGTTTGTAACTGTCTGAGAAATAAATACCTGAAATTAAAACTCAGGTTCACCTAAGCCTTGTTGTCATACAGAGATAAAATATAGCAGTGGTTGAAGTCCTGATAAAAAATGGATGCATTAATGACAGAAACATATTTAAATTGGGATGCTGATAAGTGAGAGATGCTGTTATGTTACTGTTTTTTTTACTCAAATTGTGCTTAATATGCTTGGCATTAGGCATAAAATGTTTGTGTTAGATTGTGCTTTTTGTGCTTCCTGCAAGCTGGACTTTCCACTTGTTCAATGCAAAGTTTACACTGTTTTTCTCTGGAGTTGCTAATAATTTATTTTTAATGCAACTTACAATCAGATTGTCAGGATTTGCTTGAGTTGTCTGGATTTGCCAAGTTCTGATCTGCTTTCCATCTCTTTTGGTGGCAATTTTAGAAATCTCGTTTTCCTCCGAGCCATTGATTTCTTCCTGGCTGGGGAACTGTGGTGTTCTGGTTCTCTGAACCCATTTTTCATTTTGGTTTCTTGCAGGTACACTGATGTTATTGATGTTGTGCAAGCTCTGCAAACTCACCCTGACCCAGATGTGAAATCTTCCTTCACCATTGGAGCAGTCAACACCTGTGTGGAGCCTCTGAGCTGCTACATGGAACACAGGTGTGCTTTGAAATATTTAAGAACAGATCTCTCTATTTTTGGTATCACTTTTATAATAATTAGTGATTTATGATGGTTAAAAGCCACTGAACTGACTTAAATCCCATAAAACTGCTTAATAATCCATCTTGGAGGAACTTGGAAGTGCTGTTTGGTTTATCAGGATGGCACTTGGTTTCCACCGGATATATAATTATATAGAGTATCAATAAAAGTTCAGCTCCCAGAAGAATAAACAAAGATTGTTTAAATTCAAATCCTCTGATTTGTAACATTTGGACCAGTAACAGTTTGTAACAGTTGTCCTCTGAATAATTCTCTTTTTTGCCATCTTTTTGCAAGTCAGACTAAAAATGGAGACGTGCATCTCAGTTTGGGTTATTGATTCTGCCACTACTTTTGGATATTTAAAAAGACTTTGCAGATTTAAAATATGGAATTTAAGGGAAACAACCCCTTAAACGGGGAAGAGAATGACAAAGCACGGAAGCCAAAGCATTGCAAGTGTTAAAATCTGATATCCTGGGTTACTGCAGAGCCAGGGTGGGGAGGAAATGGTCACAGAGCCAAGTCACTGACCTTTTGAAATAGTGTGGTTTCGTAGTAAATGTGTGTGCTCCAGACTTCAACAAACATGGAAATCATTTCTCAGACCTATCTGTAAAATTGTAACACTCCAATTTTTTAATTATGCCTTGCAGCCGATTTGATAAAAGTAAGTTCCAGCAGTTAGAATTTTTGGAGTTGGTAGCACTGCTTCTGTTTGTGATCAAACTGTGCCTCACAGCTTAGAGGTGAACTGCCCAAACAGTTTCTAAAAGTGCATTCCTGACATTTCCTGGCTGGTCTTAAACACTAACCAACGTGCTGCTTGTGCTTTGCAGTAGTCATTAAATAGACCTTACCTTGCTGCTTCTTCTTGTCTCCGTGACAAAGATACCAAATAAATATTAAAGACTACATAGAATATTGGTGAATTGATGCTGGAGTGCTGTTTAAAACTTGTTCTTTCCATAATTATAGGAAAGACAAGTTCCATTTCTGTTTTATTTTTAACTTAACTAACGTGTTCCTAGTCACGGTACTGCGTAGTGTTATAGCAGCAGCAGCCTGAATCCTTTAACACTGTTTGTCTCCTGAAATGCAGAAGCAATTGAAGGAAGAGGCTCAGCCTGTGCTGTAGATTATTTTTGTTTTGCTTTGGAGTTTGTTCTGATAAGAATTTACCAAGTAGCCACACAGTGCCAATGGGAAGCTTTGGTGATTTCGCTGTGAGAATGGAGAAGAGTGGATTTCATGTCTGGCTTGAAACTTGCACTCAGGAAAATCAAACCCATTTCCTGCCTCAGAGTTCAACACTGTAGAAATCCAGCTCTTCCATGAGCATGGGATGAAGCTTTTCCCCATTCTGAATTAGCAGACCAAGGCAGGGGAGAGGGAGTTGAAGGGAACAGGTATAATACTCCCTTTGAGGTCCATGATAAAGCTCCTGAAAATAATTGTCACTTGTCTGACACAGCAGCAGAAATTGGCATTCTGTACATCCAATCTTTATATGGAAAGTTCCCACTCTTTGAAAGACACAATTCTTTAGGGCAAACTTTAAATTCCTATTGTTTAAATAAGAATTAAAGTAACATTGAAGCATTTCTAACTCCTTAGAATACAGAATAAATTGCATGGTGGGAATTAGCTCTTACATCTGTTGGAGAATTAAAACTGTCTACAAAACTGATTTTTTTGGGGAAAAGTCCTGAAAGGCATAACCTGTGAGGATGTTGCATTTATATGGATTGAGGAAAAGAAGCATGAAAATGGTTTGGTTCATGAGACTCTGTCAGCATCCAAGTGAATGTAAATGTTTTACTTAAATAATAATATCCATTCTTGATACGTGAACTTTTTGGTTTTTTAGGCTTCTTTTCCCCAAGTTCTTGGACCAGTGTTCACAAGGTATGTGTCACTTTTCCTTACTTTGAGCTCTACAGAACAATAACTGAGCCATATGGCCAAATAAATACATGTATTTATTATTTTGTGCTATTAATACACGTAGCTAAAGGGTCATGATAAACTCTTGGAGGTAAGAACAGACAATCTCTGCCTACATCAAACATCATAGGCAGAAAATGAAAAGAATTCTGGAGCTTGATCCATTTTGAAGTCCTCATCTGCAGGATGGGTTTCCCAAAGATCATGAATTAAACTGCTCACCTTCAACTGCTGTAACTGGGAGTGAAATTAATTGGATTGGAGTTCCACCCTCCTTTGGGGTTGTGTGGGGAAATCGAGCTTTCCTTTCATTTCTGCTCTATTAGAAAGGGAAAAATGAGGGGTGACCCCAAATCCTCCTCTTGGTGTGGCCTGGAGGGTCCTTGCAGGGCTCATCTCACACTGCAGCAAAGCAGCTGAGCTGCAGGGCTGGTCCTTAGCTGTGTGTTCAGTTTTATATCCCAAAATGAATCACTGGCTGCATTGTCCTCCTTTGTCAAGCTTGGGAATTAGAGCCATTGTTGGCATAAATGGGATATGATCCTTCCTCACCTGCCCTCAGATCCCTGCCCCATCCCTGCAAGTGGTCAAGGCCAAGTTGGATTTATTTTGTCTTCATATTTAAGTGCAGTTGTAGGGAAATCAGAGTAGGATGCTGTGCTCCTCTTGTGGCTGCTTAAACTCAGATTGCTCTGCTTGGCTGACAGAGCAGTGCCACCTCTTCTTCACGTGTGAAGAGAACCCAAAAGAATGAAGTTGTGAATAGGCTGGTCAGAAAGTAGGTGCTGTTATATAAATCAGTATTTTTTTGGGGTAAAAATGTTGGTGCTCCAGATTGGGAAACTGCCACGTGTACAGCCACTGGTAAATTTGGAGAGAGCAGGAGAATGTTAAGAATACAAAGAATTATTAATAAATAAAGATAAATTAAAGGTGCAAAAATGTCTTTTTGTTTTACGAAAGAATAAATAAATACTCAAAGCTTTGTTTTTCTTAAAGTGAATTTTTACAGGCCTGATAGGGTGAGAATTGATCATTGTTGAAGGAAAGACTGCAAAATACCCAGGACAAGAGTAGCTGATTTTCTTACAGTCAAAATACTGTAGGAATCATCAATACAGGAGGTTAGAGGAATGTTCTTGTTGCAGGGAATAATTTCTGCACGTTGCAAAGTGTTGTCATCCAGTTCTCTGATACAGAATGTGACATCAGATGGCTGAGAGATCCCTTCATTTAAAGAAATTTTTCACATAAATAGGGGCAATTTTTGTTTAAAAGGTTCAGGAGGAAACATCTGCTTTGAAGTGAGATGTGGCACACTTAAACTTTCCAGACAGATGCAGAGTTGTGTCATGTGTGTAGCAGAGAATTCACATCTGCATAATTCATAGAATCACAGACTGGTTTGGGTTGGCAGGGACCTTAAAGACCATTTAGTGCTCCACCCCCTGCTATGGGCAGGGACACCTTCCACTATCCCAGGGTGCTCCAAGCCTCATCCAGCCTGGCCTTGGACACTTCCATGGACCTTGTTCTACTGGACATTGTACAGATGTGAAAACAGAACATTGTGGGTGTAAGAAAAGCCAACAGGCAAGTAGGAGTTAATTACACTTGGGCTTTGTACCTTCTCCTCAGAACTATCTTCCCAATTTGGGGAGTGAGTTGGGTTTGCCTTTTGCTGCCTTTCTCTTTGTCACAGGGGTACCTGGGCACATTATCAGTGTGTCATTTTCCAAAATTACTGTTTGGAGAGCCCCAAGACTGACAGAGGCAGGGACTGGGGGAACTGACAAAGCCTTGAGCAGAATGGCCAACATGAGTATCCTGTGCATACTTGTTTAAACTTCCCCAAAATTTCCTGCCACCATCTGTGTGCTGTAATTCCCTTTTGTCTCTTTCTTTTGTCTTTCTTTCCTTGCTTGCTTTCTTGCACAGAAGCTGTAAGATGATACCTTCCTAGTCTAAGGGCACCCTTAGAAACATCCCTTGTGAAACAATTTCATATAGAACACAAATTAAGACGTCACCATTGTTAAATATTCCCATTGTAAGTTTGGGAGCAAAGAGGAGCCATTATTTTCATACAGCATATGTATTTTTAATCCATCCCTCCTGTTCCTTTCCTGCTTCCATTGAACATGTTATTCCTCAGGCTGCAAGGGTTCTTTTCTTTAGATGAATAAATAAAGATTTAAACAAAACTGGGTGGTCTTCAAAATGCATCTCTTAGAAACAGAGATGGCAGTGGCAGTTTAAATAGGAAAGGTTGAATTTGTTCATTACTGAAGCTGTAGAGGCACCTTCCAGTTCTCAGGAAGTTGTTTTTTTGTTGGATCACACTCCCTGTCCGTCAGTCTGGGGTTATGAACGGGTGCCTGTGACCCTGACACCTCCAGGATTTATAGCTGGGTGTGAGCAGAGCCAGGGTTCGTGGGTTCCTGGGCTCTGAGCAGGCTTCTCCTGCTTCCAGGGTTGTGTGGGAGTTTCCAGTCAGGAATGACCAGGAGTGCCCTGGGCCAGGCACGCAGGAAGCAGAGATTGATGGAGAAGGAGCAGGGGTGGTGAGGAGGAGATGAGGTGCAGAGGTGTGTGATCTGCTAGATTGGATTTTCCCTGAAACTTTTTTTGATTTTGAGCTTTTCCAGCTTAATCCTTGACAATTATGGATCCTCTCCAAGGCACAGTGCTGCCAGTTTCCACATGGGCTCGGTGGTAGCACAACCACAGGGTGGTGGTGGTGGGTGATTCAGGAATCCCAGAATGGTTTGGGTTGGAAGGAAACTCAAAGCTCTTCTCACTCCAACCCTCTGCCATGGGCAAGGACACCTTCCACTATCTCAGGCTGCTCCAAGCCCCACCCAGCCTGTCCTGGAATATTCCAGGGGTGGAATTATTATCTCATTCATGGCATGATTATCTTATTCATGTTTTTATCCTAATTTCATGATTAATATCCCCAAACTTGATATCATTTCAAGCCTGCAGTGGCTTAAATTTCAAAGGTTGCTTGCTTGTTCTCCTTCCTTTTCTCCCCTCTCCCAAGAGCAAGTGTGAATTGTAGAAGACAGGGAAGTTCCTGAAATTGGGGTGGAAACTTCTGTGCAAGGTTAAAAACCCTTCATCCAATGATGGAGATTTATTTGTGCTGTTAATAAAGTTCTGGCTTGGAAGGGTCAGTGATGCAAAGAGCAGTGACTGGGAGTGTGTGGTGTAATGGAAGTGCTCCAGAAATATTCGGTGTGGGAATTCGTGTGTGAAGCAGCCTGGATTTGCATGGATTAATGTGATTTAAGATTTGTGTAAAGACCAGGAACTACTTCAGGCAGCAGATCAGGTGTGATCAGTTGTTATATCTTTGCTTTAAATAGTTGGAGGCAGAGGAAACACATCCTGGCTCAGTTGTTTGTGGATATTGGAGATTTTCTGTTCTTCCTTCCACTCCACTTGTAGCCACAGGAGAGAGTCAGAACAGGGCTGCACATCTTGAGCAGAGAAATAACATTTATTGTAAAAATACAGAATTGTTTAGGTTGGAAAAGACCTCTAAGATCACCAAATCCAGTCATCAACCCAGCACCACTGCCCAGTTCCCCGTTGCCTTGAGTCAAAAGCCACATCCATGTGTTGTTTGAACACTTCCAGGGATGGGGACTCCACCACTGCCCTGGGCAGCTGTGCCAGGGCTTTACAACCCTTCCCATGAAGAAATATTTCCTAATATCTCATCCAAACCTCCCTTGGCACAACTTGAGGCCGTTTCCTTTCCATTTCCTCTCCATGCCTCACTCATTCAGGACAATTCAGACATCCTAGGGAGTCACCAAGTGTTGACACTGCAATTTCTTTGAGGAACTGGGCTGAAACTCAAATCATGTATAATTGGAAAGCAGGGATCCTATAACTGAAATTAACTGGACAGTTTTCTGTTATCTTTTTGATGCCTCATGGGTTCAGTCTTGCTATCTGAATACACTTTTGGGGTCTTTAAAGATAAAAAATAACCCTAAATCCTTCTCTTGTTTTTGGAAGTGGCAACTGAGTGTCCAGAATATTGATTTTTAGCTGTTTAGTCTCTTACTGCACATTGAATTCACCAAGAGACTTTACACCTTAGTGTTCTATTTTTTTTTCTTTTAAACTAGTCCTGCTCAAATTGATTCCTGTATGGATTTGTTATTTAAATTAATTGATTCTGTGGATTGAGTCTAAATTGATTCTGTTAGATGAAAGACTCTCTGCTTGATTTTTTTGTCGTAGTGGATTTTCTTTTTGTCTTTATTGAAAGAAGGTAGTGAGAGGGAAGGAAAATAAGAGAAGAATGGTTGGAATATCACTGAATGGTTTATTAGTCACTGTTTACATGCCTGAGCTGTGTAAATTATCCCCTGATTTCCTTCCACAGGACTGGTGAGTAACGTGGTTTTCACAAGTCATGCCACAGAGCAGAGGCACCCACTCCTTGTGCAGCTGCAGAGCCTGATCCGAGCAGCAAATCCTGGAGTTTCCTTCATCCTGGCAGAAAATGGAATTGTAACGAGGTAATGTTAATCAGGATTTATCGCTTTTGGCACATGGGACACGAGCACTCAGAAACTTCTGTTCTCTTGTTTTTACTCGGGTGATTTATAGGAAGGAAATGCAGATTTTTCTTAATTGCTTCTTGTGAAAAAGGGATTTTCCCTTTACATTTATGAGCATATAAATACAGGGATTAGGAAATGTGTTTTGTTTGCAGAGTGTGATTTATGTTACTGTTACTGCCGTACTAAAGGAAAAGTGCTCTTAATTTTACTGTCACTAGCACATTGTTTTATGTAAGTAGATAGTGGCCATTTTATTTAACTTAGAAAATTAAAAATCTTCATTTTTATCTCTTTACAGGAATGAGGATATTGAATTAATTCTCTCAGAAAGCAGTTTTTCAAATCCTCAGATGATGAGAGCTCGATATTTAATGTACCCTGGCTGGCAAGTATCTAGACTGAGAAGTATTAAAACTATTTTTCTAATTAACTTGAAGATTAAAATGTTTCACTAACTTCATTTATATTTTTTTTCCCCAAGACTACTCATTTGGAACAGGCAGCAGCTTTGTAAATCATTTTTAAGAGAGCTGATGATTATTCTTAGTGGATACAAGATTGCTGCCCTGTTAGGGGGGAAAAAGCTCCTTTCTGGATACCATTTAAATCAATGGCAAGATTACTGTTGCTTTCCAGAAGAATAGGCAAGAACCCTGTGGGAATAAACTGGGAAGGATTGGGATGGGTGAGGTCAATAATGACTGGAGTAATTTCATCCTGACAGCTATTCAGCGTTACTGGAATGAACTTGCTCTGTCAGCCTGGCCATTAGCAGAACAATTATTCACAAAACCCAGGAACCTCAGTGACAGCCTTGGCACAGCTGAGGCACAAACCCACGTGGCACCAAACTTCCCACTGAACACCGAGGGAGATTTCTCCTGGCTCAGGGCTCTTCACACATCTTGTTGCAATTATCTGTGCTGCACCTTTTTGGCAGAAATCTGCAGCTGTCAGCTGTCACAACTCCTGGCTGACCGGGCTCTGTGCTGCAAACATCATTTATTTATCATACCTTGCAGCCCTCTGCATCTCTTTATTAATAAATTTGGTTCTGAATTGGATGCAAGTAGCCAAGTAAAGCTACTGGAGTGAACAAGCACAAGGCTTGGGATTGATATTAATATTGAATTAATATCATCAGAGCTGCTTGTGGATTGCATGGAGCCAGAGAGAGAGCAGGAAAAGAAAGTATTTCAGACTTTTGGACAGCTGTTAATCTATTTGATGACAGTATGCAAGAATTGGATCTGGGTAGCATGGAAGAGAAAGAGCAGCTGGAAGAGTATCAAAAGCATCCAGGGAGATCTTACTGCAGCCTTGCAGCACCTAAAGAGGGCTCATAAAAAAGGAGTAGAATGAGTTTTTACACGGGTAGATGGTGACAGGACAAGGGAGAGAAGGTTTTTAAGCTCAAAGAAGAGTGATTTAGATTAGATATTAGGGAAAATTCTTCCCTGTGAGGATGGTGAGGCCCTGGCACAGGGTGCCCAGAGAAGCTGTGGCTGCCCCTGGATCCCTGGAAGTGTCCAAGGCCAGGCTGGACAGGACTTGGAGCAGCCTGGGCTAGTGGAAGTTCTCCCTGCCCATGGCAAGGGTGGGAATGAGATGATTTTTAAGGTCCATTGTGACTCAAACCATTTCATGATTTTATGGAAAAGAGTCCTGAGTGCTTTCACCAACCTAATGCTGTTGGGAGCACATTTTATGGAGAGAAGAAAGCTCTGTATTTTCCTTGCTCTGATCAAGGCTCATCTGTGGTGCAAGAACAGGCATTCTTTGTTGGATGAGAAGCAGAAGCTCCTGTGATTTCTGTCTGTTGAAGGTGTTTATTTCTGTCTCCAGGTACGAGGGCACATACGGGGCTGGGCCCGTGTTCCCTCCCATGGTTCAGATCTGCGTGTGGTTCAGTCGCCCTCTGGAGAAAACACGATTTGTGACCAAATGCAAAGGTACTGAACTTTGCCTGACTTGACTGAAATCCAAGCTGGGGATGCTGGGGGATAGAGGGGAAGGAAGGCACTGACGTAACGCAGTTCTTTAATCACTGCTGAAATTCGCTTTTAATTGAAAACTCAGCTTTCCTTCTGAAAAGTACAGTAAATTCTGTTCCTTAGTGTCTGCTCCGGGAAACTGTCCCATGATTTTTGTTCAGATGAAAATCATAATTGAATTTTTGATTTCTAGGACTGAGACAACTTCCTATCTTTGCTTTTTATTTTATGTTTCATTGTATTTGGTGGTGTTGAAATATAGTTTTATAAGCGATCATCAGCTTCTACTTTTTATGCTAAATAATTCTTTGTAGCTACTAGAAAACAGGCTTATCTCTAGAGTAGATACATTATCAAGTTTCTCCTTCTCTCTATAGCCCAGTAGTGTTAAAGAGGAGGATTTTACCTCCCACACACACTGTGAGAGATCCTTCTGCCAAACACATCTTATTTCACAAACTCCACGGCAAAGAATGAGAAAATAAATGTTGCACAGTGGGACTCCAAGGGACATGGCAGCTTTTCCTTTGGAAGCACTGGGATGTGGATTAGAGATCAGTTGCACAGGTTTTACCAGAAGCTCCACCAAGGAGCAGAAAAATAAGTTGAGATAATCTGTTTCCTTTCTGTTTCAAACAGCAATTAAGTCATTGCTCAAGCCAAGTCCTTTTTCTGGGAACATTTATCACATCATGGGCAAAGTGAAGTTTTCAGGTAAGGGCAAATTACTCCTGAGGTGTTGTGATCACACTGTAAGTTCTGGGTATTTAAAAAAGTATTTCTGGGCTCTGTCTGCACCAGTGTTGATGTTAGATTAGATTAGCAATTATCAGGCCCTTCCTTCTGTCTTCTCCTTGTTAGATGCTGATAAAGTCATTGAAGTCTGTCACAACACAGCAGCAAATTCCCTAAGCCTGGTGCCTGTTCCGGAGGGGCCAGCTCCTCCCGATTCCAGAAGTGATGCCAGAGACTGCAGCAGTCAACAGGAATATTTCCTTGTGTTCATTGGCTGCTCCCTGAAGGAAGAGGATATCAAAGATTGGCTCAGAGAAACTGCAAAACAGGTTTGTGGACAGGTTTCCTTTTGTTCAGTGCTTGCCGTTTCTTAACAGCCAAAGGAAAAATCTGAGTGTCTCTGTGAAACATTTGGGTTTCTTAATTAATCTCTTTTTTCCTTCTACCAAAGTATTGACATTCTAGGGTGCAAATCGATTTCAGGAAGGGGACTAAGAGTTTACAAATATGTGTTGTAATCTCTGTATTGTTTTAGTGCTTGCTACAGCTTATTCATGGATTGATCTGCTCTTGAATGCTTGAGCAAATGGATTATGTCCAGGATAAACACAGGATGATTTAGCTGAGCTGTGATTGCCAAGGGCTGAAGTGTACTATGAAATAAATCTTCTTCAAGTACCTGAATGCTGGCAAAGCTGAAAATTTGTTTTGATTCACTAAATTAAACCTCCTTGGAAGTAATCCACTGAAACGGAGGGTAGAGTCCTGTTCATTTTGTCATCCTTAATTAGTCAAGTGTATTTCTGTGTGGCTGATGCATCCATGCAATAAGGAGTAGGGAACAGGGAATGTGGCTGTTGTAGGAAGCTCAGAAGGCACAGTTTGCACAGAGGGACTGCCACAGCTGATTGATAGAATCCCAGATCCATAGAATCCCAGATCCAGAAAATCCTGGAATGGTTTGGGTTGGAAGGGACCTTAAATCCCATCCAGTTCCACTCTCCTGCCATGGGCAGGGACACCTTCCACTATCCCAGATTGTTTAAAACCCTGTCCAACCTGGCCTTGGACAGTTCAGGAATGGGGCAGCCACAGCTCCTCTGGCCAAGCTGTGCCAGTAGAACTTTTTTTGGGACATTTTTAAGTTAAAAATACTCCATGTTACTTCTGTATGGATTAGGATTTGCACAGTGTCTCCAAAAATTTGTGTAGGAAGGGAAAAGTGTTTCCTGCAGACTGTGGCTGGAGCAGTTGCTAAGGTTCTAAGATATCTGAGGTTTCTGAGATGCTCAGGTTCTCATCTCCTGTTCCCCTGTTGTGTTAAAATTAATCAATCTTCTCTGCTGATTATCTCATGCTCTGTACTTATCACAGGGCTAATATATGGAGACAAATACTTTGCCTTGTAAGAAAGCTCTTTGTGGAATACCACTTAAATTTTATGAAAACTTGGAACTTACATGCTTATCTCAAGTGTGAAGTGTTTCCTCTTTGAGCAATTCAAGGCCATAAACACTTTTTGTACAGTCATGGCTAATTGAGGGTTTCAGATAGCTCTAAGAGTTACCACATGCTGCAGGAAAGAAAGGGATTACAGAATTTCTCAGGCTCAAAACTATGTTGTTTTTCTGTTATTGTGCCAGCTTTCTTACAGCAAAGCTGCATTTAAATTGTCTTGTTTAAAATACTTGAAGAATTTTTCATTTCTTAGCGTTTTTTGTAAGATCAGTGAATTTTTACTTTTGTTTTCAGAACATAGTTGTGAGTGCCTTCATAGAACTGAATAATTTTAGAAATGAATTTTTGAAATTCATGCTTCTGTTTGGTGGTTTGGGTTGTTTCTGGTTTGTTTTTTTTTTAATTAGTTTTTTAACTAAGTAACCTGTGATATCACATTGTCACTCTGTATTCTCATAACTGGAATCTCATTCTTCATACAGAAACCTCAGAGGAAAGCCCTGAAAACCAGAGGAATGTTAACCCTTCAGGAAATAAAAAACATTCACGTGAGTAAAAGCAATAATTTACAACCCCTTCTTTTGGCTGATTTCCCTTAAATATATAGATGATATATAGATGATAGAGCACCTGCCACAACAAGTGTGCTGAGCACTAAATTATTACAGCACTTTTTGGAGGTACTTGGAGTAAAACTGGAGCTGTCCTGGAGGCATTTGAGATATAAATCTGATCTCAGAGCTCCAAATTCACTCTGGAAATTAGGAGAAGGTGTAAAATTTGCCATCTTTGGTTGCTGTAATCGCTCTTCCATTTTCTTTTATCTACTGGAGTTTGTAAGGACAGTCCCTGCAGGTGTTTAATTTAAATTCTTTCCTACTGCAGGTGAAACGCCACTTGGATCCACTTCCAGCTGGTTATTTTTACAATGGGACTCAATTTGTGAATTTTTTTGGTGACAAAATGGATTATCATCCATGTATCCTTTAAAATGGGGGGTTTTGGGGAAGGTTTTAGGTAGGCAATGAACTGTGCAGCTCTGAAATGTAAAGTGCCAAAGCAAATATGGTAAAGAACCAGTTGTTTGCCAGCTAAAGCTCAGTGTTAAAGCCTTTTCTGAGCGATAAGATCTCAGAAACAGAATAGAACCAACAAAACAAACCCTAAACTGCCCATGAGCTCACGCAGGGAATAATTTATGGACCACAGCTTGTCAAAGAAATATTTTTCAAACCAAATAGCGCTGTAATAGCACTGAATGCCTGGGCACGACTGATAAAACTTCCAAATGAATGTAATTTTATGTGTGCACACTCAAGTGAAAACAATCATATTTTTGTCCTTAGTATTACCCTGGCATTCCTGGCCAAGGTTCCAGTGTGTTCCTGTTGTCCTTGGTCACCACCTGGGGACATGGGTCAGTGGTGGCCGTGGCAGTGTTGGTTTAACCACTGGACTTGAGGATCTCAAAGGGCTTTTTCAGCCTTTATGATTCTGTGATTCTCTCATAACTTCCTATTGCTTTTGTCTCTGGTCACCAAATTCCAAATTTGTTTTATATTCCCAGTTTACTTTTCACCGTAACTTCACCAAACTTGGTAAAAATCCAGGTGGGTTCTGTGATTTGGAGTAAGAACAGAGTTATTTTCTGTGCTCTGTGGAACAAGGTTAAAATTTTAAATCAGCAGATTTCTGTCTGCAGGGCACAAAACCCAACAGCAAACTTGGACTTCAGTATTCACTGGAAAATTATTGATGCTCCATCCCTTGAGGTGTTCAAGGCCAGGTTGGATGGGGCTTGGAGCACCCTGGGATAGTGGAAGGTGTCCCTGCCCATGGCAGGGTGTGGAATGAGGTGGACTTTAATCTCCTTCTAACCCAAACCATTCCAGGATTCTTCACTCCACCTCCCCCTTGGTGTTTGGCAGTAAAAGCTGCAGACCTGGTTAACCCTATCGGGGGATTTAAATTTTGGGCAGGTTTTTAGACTTCTACAGAACAGCTGAAAATGTATTCAGAGAGTCCCCGAATGGTTTGGGTTGGAGGGGACTTTGAAGCTGATCTCATTCCAGCATCTTCCAGGGACGGGGAGTCCAAAATCTCTTTGGGCAGCCTGTGCCAGGGCTTCACCACCCTGCCAGGGAAGAATTTCTTCCTAACACCCCATCTAACCCTGGTTTTGCTGTCCTTAGATCCTTCCTCCTGTCTGGGAAACATCCCTTGTGCAGCTCCTTTATTCCCTGGGAACACAGAGTTGTGGTAGCTCTGACTGTAGACTTCCAGAAAGTAATATATTGAATTTCTGCTTTCACTCAGTGTCTCACAACTGGCCCTTCCTTCAAACTTAGATGTTCTTTTCTACTAAATTCCATTTGTACAAATGGTCTTCCTTCACCTTTCCCAACCAGTAATGGACCAGTTTATGAATGATTACTTGGAAGAAGCCAACAGGGAAATCGAGAAGTACAACAGAGAGCTGGAAGAGCAGGAGTACCACGACCTCTTTGAGCAGAAGACTTAAGCACGTGGGTCCTGAGTGTTTCTGTCCTTGTGTCAGGAACCAGAAATTCTGTTTTGTCCTTCTGGCTCACAAGAAATTGAGTGAAATGTCTGTTTTCAGCACTCCTTCCCAAACTAAGGGATCATTCCCCTAAGGTTGGCATTTAACACGGTAACTGCTTAGCTGTTTGTACTGTCAGGTTTGCTTCCACTTCACCTTAATTCCAGACTGTACAAAGCATCACCTGGAATCTCTGGCTTGTGGTGGAAACTTGGGAAAAAGAAGAAGGAGAAAAGAAGCAAAACTGGATTTATTTCCTTAAAAGGTCAGAATGTCATTGTGAAATTGGGCCATGGTGCAGATATCGAACAATCCTTGGGCGTCCCTTGGAAATCGTTGCACGGGAGCATCGATGAACAGTGGGGGAATTCAGGATGTGGGATTGGGGTGCTCCCAAAGCGAGAAATGGGGGAGCAGACTTGGAAGAGTCCCCAATCCCAGAACTGTTTGGGTGTTCCCGAAGCAAAAAAAAATGGGGGAATAAGTAAAAAAAATTAGAAGAGTCCCTAATCCCACAGCTGCTGGGATGTTCACAAAGCGAGAAATGGGGGAACAATATGAAAGGCCCAGAACTGAGTCCCTAAGCAGCAGCTGTTGGGATGTTCCCAAAGTGAGAAATGAGGGAACAGTGGGAAAAACTCAGAATTGGGTCCCTAATCCCACAGCTCTTGGTGTGTTCCCAAAGCGAGAAATGGGGGAACAGTGGGGAAAACTCTGAAGAGTTCCTGATCCCAGAGCTGTTGGTGTGTTCCCAAAGCAGGAAATGGAATGAGTCAAAAACTTAGAATCCCTGAGTCTGCAGCTGTGTTAGGATGTTCCCAAAGCGAGAAATGAGGGAACAGAGGGAAAAACTCAGAATTGGGTCCCTGATCCCACAACTCTTGGTGTGTTCCCAAAGCGAGAAATGGGGGAATGCTTCCTCAGAGTCCCTGATCCCACAGTTGTTGATGTATTGCCAAAATGAGAAATGGGGGAACAGGGGGAACAGCTCAGGTGAGAATCTAATCCCACAGCTGCTGGGATGTTCCTAAAGCGAGAAATGGGGGAACAATGGGGAAAATTCAGAATTTATTCCCTAATCCCAGAGCTGTTGGTGTGTTCCCAAAGCAGAAGATGGGAGAATGATTAAAAAATTTAGAATGCCTGAATCTGCAGCTGTTAGGATGTTCCCAAAGTGAGAAATGGGGGAACAATGGAAAGAACTCAGAACTGAGTGCCTAATCTCACAGTTTCTAGGGCATTCCCAAGGTGAAAAATGTGGAAACAGTGGGAACAACTCAGAATTCTGAGTCCTTAATCCCAGAGCTGTCAGAGCATTCCCAAAGCAAGAAATGGGGAATGGGAAAAGCTCGGATGAGCACCTAATCCCAGAGTTGTTAGGATGTTCCCAAAGCAACAGATGGGGGAAGAGTGGGAAAAACTGAAGAATCCCTAATCCCAGAGCTGTCAGGATGTTCCCAAAGTGAGAAATGGGGGAACAATGGGGAGAACTCAGAACTGAGTCCCTAATCCCAGAGCTGCTGGGGCATTCCCAAAGTAAAAAATGTGGAAACAGTGGGAAGAATTGAGAAGAGTCCCTAATCCCAGAGCTGTCAGGTGTTCCCAAAGCGAGAAATGGGGGAACACTTTTTCAGAGTTCCTAATCCCAGAGCTGTTAGGATGTTCCCAAAATGAGAAATGGGGGAACAATGGGGAAAATCTCAGAACTGAATCCCTGATCCCACAGCTGCCAGGGTGTTCCCAGAGTGAGAAATGGGGGAATGTTTTCTCAGAGTCCTTAGTCCCACAGCTAGCTAGGGAATTCCCAAAGTGAAAATTGTGGAAACAGTGGGAACAGCTCAGAAAAATCCCTAATTCCAGAGTTGTCAGGATGTTCCCAAAGCAAGGGATGAGGGAACCCCCACCTCTGCCAGGGCAAAGCCCATCTCAAAACCTCAGCACAGTTTTGAGTCTGCACTCGAAATTCTGACTTTAAAGAAAAGCTATTTATACATTTCAGGGTGAAATCAGTGGAGAAATCTTAATTTCTTCCCAGTGCTCTCATTGGGATTCTGGAAAATATTTCCTGGCTGGCTGCAATGTGCACCTTGCTTAGGTTATCCCTGGAGGATTCCTATTTCAGTCCTAGAAACTAAGCAAGGCAAGGCAAGGGGGAGGTTCTTCAACTGACCAATTCCTTCTCATGAAGATGAGTGATTTCCAAAGGTAAAAAATAGAAAAGGCTGTTACTTGAAAAAGGCAGGAACTTGTCTGTGGAGCTTCCAGAAGAGTTTGCACACCATAACATTTCACTGTGCTGGTGAGAAATCAGCTTTTAAGTACTCGCAACAGAATTTTTATAGTTCCTAAATGATAGAACAGGAATGCTGGCAGCCTGTCCTGACTTAATTCAGTTTATTTTAAAGAAAGCTTTATAAATCCCTGACTGAAGGATTATAAAGTACCTTAGCAGCTACTTACAGGTAATTATTGGAGTTTATTTGAATAAGCATGCATGTGTTCAGAATTTAGGTGAGAACAGCCCAGCAGGAATTTTTTATTTTCATATTCCTTTGCCTTAGGGACAGCTCAATCTTTTACTGCAACTGCAGCTTTTCTTTCTGAACAGATGTTTGTGATACAGCAAGAAATGGAATGAAAAATCTCTTGCAGAACACAAAATACTTCAAATGTATCTGTACAGCCTCATCCCATGGCAGGAAAATGAGATTTAACCTCTGCCATCAAACCTGGGGCTAAATTAGAGTTTGTGCTTAACTAAAGAGATGTATTTTTTACCTTTGGAATATGAAATAAGTGAAATTTCAGCGACCTGAAGCACACTGTGAGTGATCCACAGTGCAGAGGTGGAATTCCAGGTGCTGCAGGCTGGGATAGAAATACTGATAAGGTTTCATTCCTTGCTTTCCTCCTAGATTTAAAAAGCTGTCTGAATTGAAGACTTTAATATTTTATTTTATTTTATTTTTTTTGCACACCACGAGACTTTATATAAAAACTACTTGTATCCTGTTAGAGGCCAGTAAAAGCCAGCAATTAGTTTGTGTTTTTAGGCTTTCCTGGGGTATTCCCTGGATCACAAGTGTGGAGCATCCTGATAAAGCTCGTGAGTTTTATCTATGCATGGCTAAATTTTAGTCTTAATATCCTGTAGTGCCTGTAGAGCAAAGGTAGCTAGCAGTGGGGTTGGGGGGGCTGCCAGGGGTTTACAACTAAATACAGTTGGTTGCATGAAATTATTTCGCAGCCCAGAATTTTTAGGAATCCCAAAATTCTGGTGGTAGCGCTGCAATAAAAAAAAGAAAAAAAGGGGCATTAAGGAAATTGGACTCCAGTTGGAATTGCTTTGCCAATTAACTCAGTGTAAACCCAGCTGTCCCAGTTCTCTCATCTGCAAAGCCATATTTTTAGAGTAGTGGGATGTGATGTGGGAAGAAATTCCAGTGGTTGGGACAGCAGGCACGTGGTGGAGGCTTTGTCTCGACTCGTGAGTGGATACAGAGTAGATTTAAGTGCAATTGATTGAAAATAGATGAAGATGCTGTAGCTGATTTTTTTGCTCTGCTGAACTCTTTTTAAGAACTCCAATTTGTGCAGCTCTCAATTCAATATGGATGGGGCTGATCCAGCTGGAATTCCAAGCCCTGTGAACAAAAAACAAAAAAACAAGGAAATAATTGGGGTTTGAGTGTGCAAATTGAGCTGTTCCTTAAAAACTGGAGCAGAAGAGCTCAGAACAAAGGCCTAGAACCCTCCTGTCCTGTGCTGCATGTGCTCTATGGTCATAGCTGTGTATAACAAAGACCTTTCACCAGACTGGTACTGGCTCAATTCATGTATTTTGGTATTGAAAGAAATTGATTACCTCAATTTTTATCGTTTATTTTTGAACTGTGACTTTCAACCAGAACAAAGAGAAAAAAATAAAATAAAAAAAAAAATAAAAATACCGAAATAGTGAAACTGTGACAATGGTATCCTTTAAATGTAGTAGTGCCTTGCAGATGACACCATTTATTCCCCAAATAAATGGATGTCAGGGGTTGCAACCCCCCCTTTTTTTTTTTAAAGGAAAATAACGGTTTTGGTGAAAGGACTTAAAAATTTAACCTAGTGACAAATATTAGCACAAATGGTTAAACTGTTTAAAAGAAAACTCTTTGAGGACTGAAATATGTAAATGCCTGATGCTGCTGCTGTTGAAGAGCAGTTGCTGATTTTTTGGGAGTCGATTCTTAACGATCAGCAGCGCTTTTTGAATTTTCTTTTTTTTTTTAATTTTATTTTAGAAGAGTGTAACTTTTGTACTCTGGTCAGAGCTGTTTGTACTGTATGGAATCCCCAAGCCCAGGGGATTTGGTGTCCTCAATCCTTGGAAGTCGAGGTGAGGATGGAGCCAACTCCGAAGGATCGAGGTTTGAGCGTTTTGTTTTTTTTTGTTACTAATTAAAATAAAAACAACAAAAAGCACCATTTCTAACCCACTGATGTTTGGATACAGCAAAAGTGCCATTACACCGTTCCTTTTCTCTTTTTAATAAACTTGGAAAAATTTGTGTCCAGGCATTCCTGAGCTTGGGAAGTGCTGAAGAGTCCTCAAGGGGTTTCCACGCTTTGCTGACCTTCGTTAGCAGCTTGTGGTGGTGTTTTTTTTTCTTTCTCCTCACCGAGAATGAGTGTGATCAGAAGTTACTGAAGTTATAGGGATTCAAATGTGACAAACTTAGCAGGGGAACCTTTGCAATTTGAGCTGCTCTGCAATCTGGGAGTATTTGAATTTGAAGCTGTGCAATTTGGGATTAATCCAGTTTTTACACTTTGGCAATTAACACACCGGATTGCAGGGAGGAGTTGAGTTGCATGTGAGGGTTCCCTAATAAGTTGATTTTTTTTTTAATTGTTGTTATTTTTTAACTGAAACTTGTCTGAATTTGCACAGATTTAAGCTCTGGAATACTTTTGTATTCTTAAAAAGGGAAAAAAAATTGTGACTAGTATAGTGAATTGTGAACTGTGAGTCGGTAGAATCACAAGGTTGATCTAATCTTAGGTTGTTAAAAATGTACCTCAGAAAGCTCGTGAGAAATCGCTTCATTTTTACACAACAGCCAGATCCTGACGTAACACTTCTCACTTTACAATGTGCCAAAATTCACTTTTATACTAGTTCTCAATGCTTTAATATTTGCAACTCTTAAGTTAAAAACGTGTTATTTACAAACACTACTGTAACTTCAGTTCAGCTGAATGGTGTGATTGAAGCTTTTTGCCTCTCGTATTTATTACACAACTTGATTCAGTAAATATAAAATTACCTTTCCATTTATTTTTGTATTGTTTTACATGTTTATACCTGCAGTTTGTGTGACTTTTACACCTGTAACTCAAATGTGATGGAAAGAACCAATAAACAATATCCATCCACTGGCTTGGCTTTGACTCCTTTAAGAAACTCACAGGTTCCTAAACTGGAATTTTTAAACTTTGAGTGGTTTTCTTTTAAAATTTTTAAACTGCAGAAAGGTGAGTTGTTTATATTCAAAGTAAAATATAAAAAAAAATTAAGGTTTTGTGTTTTTTTTTTTTTTTCTGATATTTTTAGATCTTCTTGCTTGGGCTAAATTCAAACCAGAAGAAGATTCATCTGCTTTGTGCTGCTGTTTTTCAGCAGCTGTGTGTGAGCAGAAGTTGCTGTTTGCAGATTTACAAATGCAGTGAGGTGCTAAACCTTCCTCCTTGTGCTCACAGAGATGAGGATGCAGCTTTGAGATCCATGGAGAGGGCAATCCCACCTTACCCTTCTTTCCCCGAGGGGCTGAGCGTGAATCACATTTTTGCTGGTTAAACTGAGCCTGCAGCTGATTTTCTGTCTCTGTTTTACATCACTTTTGCATTCGTTGGGGAGAGGTTTTGTGCTCAATTTGGTTTTTATGAATGGTTTATGTAAAACCAGCCTGTTCAATCCAGCCTGCTTTGCATATTCCAGGTGTGCACATCAACCAGCAGCTTCTGGAGCACGGACTTTGGACTGAAATCCAATCCAAATTCCTGGCTTTGGAAAGCAGCTCCCACCTGTAGATCAGGAATTTCAGGGATGGCAGCAGGGCCAGGGCAGTGCCCATCCCCTGGGCTGGCACTGCTGGGACACCTCCAGTGCTGGGGGTGCTTTTGGGGTCTCCAGGTACAGGACAGATATTGAGGGGCTGGGGAAGGCTCTGGAGCCCCAGGAGCTGCTGAGGGAGCTGGAAAGGGGCTCAGCCTGGAGAAAAGGAGGCTCAGGGGGCCCTTCTGGCTCTGCACAACTCCCTGCCAGGAGGGGACAGCCGGGGGGGTCGGGCTCTGCTCCCAGGGAACAGGGACAGGAGGAGAGGGAACAGCTCAGGCTGGGCCAGGGGAGGTTTAGATCGGATATTTGGGAAAATTTCTTCGTGGAAAGAGTTTTTACACATTGCTCAAAAGCTCTCCAAGATTGCTAAGTCCAACCATTCCCCCAGCACTGACCTGCATCCCCAAATTCCACACGGCTTTTAAATCCCTCCAGGGCTGGGGACTCCAACCCTGGGCAGCTGTGCCAGGCCTGGAGAGCCCTCTCCATGAAAAAAATGGACAGCTAAAAATGCTTGGACAGGGTTTAGACAATGGAGAACTGTCTGAGTTTCATTTCATAAGAGAGATGAGGTAGATTTTCCTGA